TGTCAGTCAAACACTCTGGTGTACTAAATAAATTTTCAACGCTAAGAATAACTTTGTTCATTGTAATAAGAATAACCGGTAATATCTATGATACATATACATATATTGCCAAGGCTAAATTTGATGGTGTAAAAAAAATAAGTTAATTTTGAGATGGTGTAGAAGGTTTGTAGATCCGGTGGATGATTTTGCTGGAGTTTTTCTTCGCTGAGCTGAATGGTTTGATCAGAGAACAAAACTCCACCAAAAAGAAACAATTGAAATCATTATTTTCACCATTAATATTATCAATATTATAACTATCGTCATTTTATACTTATATTATTCTTTTTTTTAATGGCTTACATGTTTTTAGCCGAATTTACTCTTTCAACTTAACTCTGTTTCATTGGAATATTAAATATATAAATAAATTAGTGAATAAATATATCCAATTATTAATCTAAAACACCATCTAGCAACTCTGTTTTATGGAGCAGACAAGTTCAATTTAGGCATCTGAATAGTATCCTACCTAAAATACAAATATGTATTCAATTAATGAGTTGTAATAACAATCTTCTCACTTGACTGATTGCCTTTTTTGTATCCTTTTGTATAGTTTAACAAATTGAACTTATCCACTATGATTAAAGTTGTATATTGTTGTATTTGTAAATTGATTTCTAGTGACCAGGATAACTGTAGCTACTTATGCTCAAAAAATTTCACCTGATAAGTATACAGACTAAAAAAAGAATTGACTAATACATCAGCCAAAGCTTTTAAATCGTATTATAGCTGAAAAACAGTAGATGAGTTTTATACTTTTGAAGCACGAAGATTCCACCTTTCGTAGACTATTACACGTTCAATTATCAAGTTTATTTGAAGCATGTATGAATTGAGAGCAATGAAATATAATGTGGGTAGAGTGAGATAATTAAAATGATTTTGTTACACTGATTAAAAAAATAATAGAGGGGTTCAATGAAATGAAGTGATATCAAAAACAATTATTAATAGAATCACAGGAATATAAGAAGTAATTAAAGAGAGGGGAATATTTTCAAATAAGAAATATAATAATAATAGTTTGAAGCTATGGAAGCAGTAAAGATGAAATTAAACTTGAAGGGGGTCAGAATGATACACACAAACGTTTTGATAATAGACAAGATGATAAATAAAAGGATCTAAAATGACTAGCAAAAAGTAAAATGATAACCGCCTAGCTATACAACTGTGAAGTTAAAGTTCGTATCATTGTCTTTTGACTATTTAAGGATGTTTTTCATAGCAATAAATCTAAGAATTACAAAGAAACTGTAGGAAGTGGATTTTGCACAGAATGAAAACTTGAAGAGAGGGAGCGGATTGAGTGAAGTGAAGGAAGTATCTCAACATAAAACAAAGCCGAAATTTGTTAGAGATTATTATCATCCTGAAAATGAGACTATAAACTCCTGAAGGTGACTGATAACTGTCAGAAGTAATGTTTTTAGAACTCACCCCTTGACTCTTAGAGCGTTTATTGTTTATATGTGTATAAACAATGTCAAGGATAATTAAAATGTATTTGATCACACACAGTGGTCATCTTGTTAACTTTGTTCTTAGATACCTCAACAAATTAAAAAATCTATTCTTCATGTAAAAGAAACTTGGACCTTTAGATTATATCGTACAATTATGGAATTAAAGTGACTAGTGTTTTCCAAATTTCAGTCAAATAATAATGTTTTATTGCCGAATGTAATAAGTAGATATGACCCCAACTTAACATTATAAATGTTATCTAAGCTACTGTTATGCATGACCTCACCTATCATTCATTGGCTAATGAACCTCAGGTGGGTAAACTATTCATGAGATGTATGCTCAACTAATTGATAAATCTACACGTACAATGTGAGTAGTGTGGCCCTGATTTACTATAGTAAGTTTACTTGAATTAACGAAATCACATGAAATGATGAAAAACCAGAAAGAGGTTTAACTATACGCTCGATAATAAACGATGTTAATATTTGAGATATCTGTACTGTGTAGTTTTACGAAAAACTATCAATGGAATCCAAGAAGCAAACTTCTTTTCCCTCGGTCTTCCTCGTTAGGATGTTTCTAGACTCTTTTTAGCAGTTATAATATTGAAAAATGTATGTCGTCTTTATTTCAAATAGATGGAAACGAATAAGAAGCTATTGGTCAAAAGCTTAGGATGAACTTTGGTTGTAAAATGATCCAGGAGGTAACTGGGTGATAATAGAATGTAGGTCTGCATTCCAACTTGGGATCTTCAAAAAAAACTTACTCTGATGTGATCATTCTATAAAGCTGAAAATTGTTTTAAAATAAGTCACTTTAAATCATTCTGGCTTATAAAAAACTGAGTATATTTTCAAGCTAATCAGTAAACATGTATAATTTGATTCATTTGTATCGGTTGTTTGGATCTTAATAATGATGTTTAGGATTGCAACTTATCAGTCTCTTTTGGAATATATGCATCCTGTGCGGGTTGTCTCGACACTATCATTTATTTACAACCATTTTAAGCAGATTTGTATGGCTAAATGCCCATTTTCAATCCTACTGTTAGCCTCCATCCAACAACTAGAAGTTATTCACAACCTCCAGTAGTTTAACCGACAGAATTCAGTTCGATTGTGCTGTTCGTTGCTCTCATCTCGCAGATTAGTGTCCAAACGTCAGTCCTGTGTGCCATAACGAGTATTGGGAAAGTTAGAAGTTTTGAACCTATTTTTCGGATTATTATCATTATTTTTATTGTATAAATATTAAGTAACTGCATTATTTTATTTTATATTATCCTTATTATAAAATCCCAGTGGATCTATTAACTATTATTATGGGTTTTACTATTGCTAACTAATTATATACTGTTCTCTCAACTCGCTACGAATAGTGGGATGATTGTGTTGAAATTATGATTTCGTATTTAGTGTGCCTTGTGACCTCATAATTCCTACATATGGGCCGATGAGTGGTTGATATAGATGCAGTTCTGGCCGGCCGGACTGGATGGTTGAAATATAGGGATAACAGAAGGTTGGCTCCTGATTTCTATTCGAACTTAAGGCTGAGGACAGAAAAAGGCTTTCTCATAGGCAACATATAAGAGTGTAGCTCATGTTAGCTCACGGCTAACTGTGTTGTCCATAACGTACTCGAGGTTAGACTCGCTAGGTTATATTCTGAATAGCAGACGCGTGATCAAAAAAATTATATTCAGGAATTCTTATTGACAGATTCAGTAAGTAATGTCGATTAGACATAACATAAAGGAGGGTCAGTCGAGGTTAGAACAGCTCAGTGGTAAGTTTACTGATACCATCACCGAGTACCATGGGTTGAAGCCTAATTCTTCAAAAGTGTAGATTAATACAAATCGTCATGAAATCTTAGTTCAGAGATTCTTGTTGTTTGCTTCCTAACATTCAAAATTATTTACTTCTTTAGACTCAGTTTGGACAGTCGAGTAGCATCGTTCATACGATAAGTATGGTTTAAAATAAAGTACGTGAACCTGTTCGTGATTATTGAATTACGGCATTACATTTGACTGCAGACAAATTCCATTTATGTAACTAATTGGGACAAGTAACTCACTAGCTAGGATATCACTTCATTATAACATATAGTTACACTTATTAGTGTTAGTCAGGACAATTTCGGTTCACCCTTTATGATTATGGTCACGTACATGTGTGTAAAACTTCATTGCAAATGTTGAAAATTAAGCTATATATATATATATATATATATATATATATATATATATATATATATATATATCTTCCGCACAATTCAATATAATGACAGAGGTGCGATTATGAAGACTGATTGATAGATAAATTTGTAACATAATTCCGTAAAGATGACCACTGGAATTCGAGGTCATCATCACTTTAAGCTTTAATGCAACAGATGACCTATTCTCTTAGAAATATCAGTGCTTCTTTGGTAAAACATTTTTAAGCTTGTTCCATTGGATAAATCAGTATGGTTCATTAAACGATTGGCTTCAGTTTTAACAGCAATTTTTCAGCGGTTGATAGATGTAGGGATATCAGTTGGTTTTAAGGAGAAAAACACCGTTATTGAGTGAATTCTAAACGATAGTTGGATAATTCTATGAAGATGTAAGAGAATCATGAGTCATTAGTTTGAAGAGTATGCAGAGCAAAATATTAAGTATTTGCTTAATAGCTAGAAATACTCACTGTGAAATTATAATACTGTAACATAAAACAATTATATAGAGTCGTTAAAAGTATATAATATAATTATCTGGAATGCATATATATTCTATTTAGGTTAGCTAGAATGCATGTGCTCAACACGCAAATAGTGCATTTTTGGTTGTAGTGAACTTTCCAAAATCTGGACAGCTAGACAACTCTTCATCATAACCAATTTAGTTACACTGGATGCTTCATAAGAAATTTATATACCAATTTCTGAAGTATTAAATACAATTTATTTGAATAGTCTCAACTTAGTTATTTTCAAAGCAAATAACAAAGAAACGAGCACATTTTCTCACCAAATTAAGATCTATCAAATTCTTATTACTTTATTCGAAATAGAGAAAAAAAAGCAGAATTGACTTGTCTCAATGTCAACTAAAGAAATAACAAAATGAACACGGAAACTGTTATACTAAAATATCAGTTCATAGAAAATAGATCCGTAGTTATCAAGAAACGATAGTCAGGTTAAATCAATTTTATATAGTCTATAAGGGGTCGTTATCATTTACTTAACGACAGAATCTCTCCACTTTCAGTCACTAGGACTTCATCTAAATTTGTCTCTGTCTATTACAACATAACAAGTGAAGTAGAATTACTAGAACTTATAAATGTGAGCACATAAATATGAGTGTGATTACTGAATTAAGTAAAAAAGAAGTTATTTAAGACACTTGAACAAAAATTCTGATAACAACAAAGTATCCTTAGGTAAAATCATTATATAGACATCCGTAGACTTACCTGAAATAATAATTGTTCTAATGTTTTTGCTAAGTGTTGTACCATTTTAGTTCTTTGTTCATCATTAGCATGTACTGCTTGATTAGCACATAAGACTAAATGATGTACATCTGTCCCTACTCTGTTATAGCATATCATTTGCCAAATTAATCGAGGTAAATAGAATAAAATACACTGTAGGCCAAGAACAAATGGCACCCACTGATAATACACTACATAAAATAAAGTAGAAATTTAGGTAGTTTCGAGATAGAAAAAAAATTTGTTTGTTATGAAATAATGTTTATTTTCATCTGTACAATCTAGTCGGTCCCATAGTTTTATGACCATATATTGATTTGGACGAGTTCTTGTTGATTTAGGTTAAAATTATATAATTTGACAACTATAACAAGCTACCAGTATGAATCTCATTAATGAAACACTAATGAAGTACTGACTTCTTCAAAACAACCTATCAATTCAACTTGACAGAAATTAATTGTTTATCATGTCATAAAAGCAAAATTAAACAGGCCAAACCATCTAACTAAAGATGTTTAACGACTCAACTTGCCAAAGAGAACTAAACACTTTGCCGATTAGAAACAGAGACAGCTCAATAGTGCCTAAAAGCAGTTGACTGTTGATTAATATATATGAGACCATGAACCAATCAATGCTAAACCACCACCGAAAACCTGGAAGCGGTAGACGGTCGATTCTTTCTAGTATAAGACTTCTCGGTAGTGTGCATCCATGATTCTGCACGCGGGACTCGAACCTAGGTCTAACATTGGTCGGTTCATGATCTCAATTAAAACTCGATAGTCTCCACAACCCTGTACTGATATATATATATAATCAGTTGAAAGACAGAGATGAAATCAATGAATAATTTATTAAATAATTAGATCTTTAATAGTAAGATAAGCTTTCCAGAACTGCATTTTATTAATGCTAGGTATGTGATCACAGTGATTACTGTGGTCGATTCGATAAAAATAATCTTAAGTTATTAACAAATCAAGAAAATAATAAGTCAGAAACAAAATGGCCTTGAATTTCATAACGATTCCTTAAGTAAACAAGAATCAGACACAAAACTATTTAAATACGGAGATCCAATTCTTGCTGATCAACTGGTAAATATTTGGGAGTTTTCTAGCATTTTTTGAAATGTATTATTCGAGGAGTGAAATATTTCAGGTAACTTTATCTCTCTTCAGGATGATACTTTTAACTAAATAAAATTGATCTCTCAAACATGTCAAAAGTGTGAAACAGAGACTTATCAACGATAAGGAATGATGAACATATTGTAGCTTGAATTAAGTGGAATTTCGGGCACCGATTCAGAGGTCGATGTGTATGGTTACGCATGTTCATTGCCGATGAACCCAGAATTGAGACAAAGCAGATGTCGAATTCCAACTAATCTCCAACGCTTTCGCAGTTGATATTAGTCATAATTTACTAATTGAAGCCGCATCAAGAAACACAGTAACCATAAATCATAACCACTACAAAACTAGAATCAATTTGTTTTTTATTAGATAGAATATATCCAGTTTTATGGTTGATTTGATAAATTGCAAATAATTATCAGGTATATATGACTTAAAACCTACGAAACTCCTTTGCAAGTGGAAAACGGTAATTGGGACAGTTGTTGGTATTTAACTTATGTAGCTGTTATTCTATCCGCAATATGATTTACTCAGAGATCTAAAATTTTAATTATTCATGTTTCTTACAAGCTATAACTGCCACCACCACAGATAGGTTGTAATATAACCAATAATGAAAGTGACTCAAGTATTGAAAAATTGAATGATTAGTGACTGGTTTTTAGTTAATTACAACTACAATTGCAATTACAATTACTAGCAACGAGTGGATTTATTTACAATCTTAAGTTGCTACTGTGTTCCAATAGATTAATCAATGCAATTACTGAACGTGTCTAAACAGATAAGCTCATAAACTGATAATAGAAAAAAATTAATTACATTTTCCCTATGTACATCTTCTCAATGGTGAGTGAATACTCAAGATATAGTAGATTAAAAAAATTATGACAATAATTCTTTGTTGTTAGCTGTAAAACAAGCACTTATATCATTATCTTTCTCACAGAAATCGTATTATCTACTGATCATTCAAATAATTAATTTTCTTGATTAAGTTGACTTTTCAGACAATCTGAATATACTACATGATGGATTCAATTATCTCTTAGAGATCGTAAATAAACCTACAACAAGACATGAAATTTATACTTAAAACGTGGAAATTAAATACTCACGTAGTTTATGCTTCTCTAATTCCGCCCAACCTTCATCTGTCTCTGGTACTCGACCAGAATATGCTATAGGGACAGTGCCCTGAACCCAACAGTAGTTCTCAACATAATCTAATAAGTTTTTTCCACCCAAATCTGTTGCCATGTAGCATGAAATCGGTTTCATCATATACTGTTTGATAGTGACAATTGTTGTACAAAGCATAAGAACCATAACTGTTATGAGAAAATTAAATTTATCCGCAAAATCTTCAACTCCGACATAGGTAGCGACTTGGAACTTTGATAAATAATCCAAGAACTCTGTGCCGATCATGTCGACTGTAAATCAAAGACCTTTTCCATTTTATTTCAGAAATAATATCATCAAGGTTTTATGAGCTTTGTGTGAATGGATGAAAGAATTGGGGAAATTGTCAACATCTTATTGGTTATTTTAAAAATCAATGCAGTTGTTGTTGTTTTTATTGGTCAATCAGGAATCGTGGGCGGTCAATATATTTCATAATTAAAAGGACTTGGGATTTTAACGACGCAATTAAGGATTATTCAATGTAATTGACGTTCAGTGTAATTGATAAGAAGGTAGTTGCTATTTGTTTTGATGATGAATCTTGGTGTGACTGTACTACCGAATATAACTTTAAAACTGCTCGGAACCGAGGAAAAGCTGTAAATTACGATGTTTTGTTAGTTTCTATTCATTTTCACAGAATATGTCATGTCCTATTTCTGTCTGAACTCCTATTATTATTAATGAGAATCTACATGTAACTATCATTAATAAAACATAGAAAATGAAGATAATACGTATTAACTAACAAACAATATCTAAGTGCAAACACATTCTTTATCTGTAGTTATTAAGTTTCCATACATAATACTTAAATAATATTGATTCAGCAATGTTATTTTCAAACAATCTGAACTGATCAAACTTTTGTAATTATTGTTCAAGTATACGTAAGAGTACGTAAATCTTAATGTCATCTAGCCAAATTTAACAGGAGAATTATGTATCACACTCATGTGAATTTTTTAACACTCATTAGAATAAAACTATTCATACAGCATCGCCATATAAAATCAAATAGGACAGGTTGGTATTTAGAAATCTGATAACTTTGTATTAGATAAAAAAAATGCAGTACAATAGAGGACAAATTTTCCATCCTATGTTAGACAAATCAGCTGAATATACGTGCATGTCAGTCTTTTGACACACACACACACACATTAAAAATTCAACCTTAAATTCACCAATGAATACTATCAAATGTTATCCACTATAATAATTTATTACGACTGATTATCTTTGTAAATAAATAGCAATAACTTAAATAACTCATGTAGAATTAAAATCACAATTTAAGAACCTGGAGCTATTAGTGAGGATAAACCATCAACATCTATTAATTAAAACAAATAAGTGCTGATTATAATGTATTTTCGTGGTTATTTTCTCTTTCAGTTACCTATGTTGATCCTAACCGATTAATTTTTGGCGATTTTTTCATACAGATCATAAAGTACATTTGTTACAGAGTAATTTATCCGTTTGAGCACTCATGGTGCATGAGTGAAAACTTTCGGTTTTGACGTCTTCGATGCCGTCAGGGTGCCAAACAGGGACGAAAATGCTGATCGTGTATTTTGGTTTCTAAAGCTTTTTTATATGATTCCAGTTCAAATTTAATTAGTTTTTATGATTCACTTAACTAAATTTAAGAAGTTTCCACTTGACTACAGGATCCCTGAAGCTTACTTATTTAATCCTGCTACCCATCTTAAAGGAGCATAGGTCACTCACCAGCATCGACAATCCAACTCTGTGCTGGGTAATCCTTCACAGTTGTTTCCAGTTGCTATTCATTCTCTTGATGTCTGCTTCCGATTATGATGCAGTGTGTTATTCGGCCTTCCTCTTTTCTGTTTCCCTTCAAAATGCCAATTTAATGCTTACCTCGAGATACACTTTGATTATTTCCTCAATGTATGTCCTATCCACTTGGAGTGCATCTGTCGGCTGTCCTCCATGCATCACTTTGCAGTTCATTCCGTCGTGACAATTCCGTACGATTTTGACGATTTTCTCAGGTACTCCATAGTGTCGAAAATGATTTATGAGTTTCACCTAGTAACAATGTCAAATGCTTTCTCATAGTCAAGGAAGTTGATTTACAGTGACGAATTTCATTCCATTGATCATTCAACGACGATCTGTAGTGTCGCTATTTGGTCTGTGAACGATCGACCCTTACGAGATCAGGTCTGTTGACCTCGCAGTTGGGCATCTACTGCGTCTTACATCCAGTTCAGCAACACTATGTTGAAAACTTTTCCTGCTGCTGACTGTAGTGTGATACCTCTGAAGTCCTCACACATGCTAAGATCTCCATCCTTTGGTATCTTGATGAGTTGTCCTTCTTTACAGTCCGTTGATACTTGTTCCTCCTCCCAAATCTTCTTGAATAGAAGATGAAGCATGTTTGAAGTTACTTCAGTGTCTGACCTCAGTGCTTCAGCTGGTATATTGTCAGGCCCTGCTGCTTTCCCACACTTGATTTACCTGATGGCTATCCTGATTTCTTCGGTCTTTGATGCGGTGACATCTGTAGGGAGGTCTGTGTGTGATGCCTCGATGTCCGGTGGATTTAATGGGCTGGTCTATTCAACAGTTCTTCGAAGTACTCTACCCACCTGTTCCTCTGTTCCTGAATCTCCGTGACTGTCATGCCTTCTTTGTCCTTTACCGGTCTCTGGTTGACTATATCTCCCTGCTAGTTTCTTCGTTGTATTATGTAGCTGTTTCATATTACCACCTCTTTCGGTTTTTTGCCGTCGTTGCCAGCTCATCCACGTATTTCTGCTTGTCCTCTTTGATGCTCCTCTTCACTTTCTTGTTTGCTTCTGTGTACTCAGCTTGTACTTTCGCATTCTCTGCTTGTGTCCGGGTGTTGATAATTGCTATCTTCTTGTTCTTCTTTTCTTCAATATTGTCCAAGGTTTCGATGGAGATCCACTCCTTATGATGATGCTTTTTGCGGCCCAGAATCTCTTGACACGTTGAAATTAGTGTTTCTTTGATCCTTCTCCAGTTATGTCTCAAAGTAGATTCTTCTTTCAGTAGAATGTGCACCTGCAGCTCTCTTATATTTACTGCCGGTCTCGAATCCGGATAAAGGAGGAGGGTTGGGCATGAGGTCGGTAACACCAACCAGACTAAACAAATTAAACCATTTAAACTGTGCGCTGGGAATTGAAGGAAGAATTATGACGCCTCAGGATGAAAGGCGAGATTCTTCGGAAGTCACGAGGCCGATGCCCGTTCTAACAACCATAGCAACAATTTTTATAGGTACATGGAACGTCCGGACAATTTTGTCGTATACTGATGATTATTCATTGTTAATCTTGATCTATTTCCCATATTATTTCATGAAACTAAGTGCCTAATAAATTATTAGTTCCTTTTACGCCTCTGAATCGGATGGAAAAGTGGAACTCAATCGTTCTTTTTTATTCATTCTCCCTTGACAGTATGTTACTTCTAAAGCAAGACAACAAAGTTATCAGAGATTGGAGGTTTTTAATTTCATGAATAGAATTTGAAATATTTTTTATTTCTGGATAAACGAACGGAACCCAATGTTTATTTTAATGTCTTGGAAAAAGAACCCTGTAGATTTATTGTTTAATTTGGTATTTGTTTAAATTCAGAACGTAATTTATACAATAATAAGCTCAGTATCATCAATCTATAAATAGACTTAGTAAAATAGGGTGTTTAAACAGAATGTTAACCATGTCTTCTAAACCATATTGATTGCTTTTTAAAAGGACAAGTATTTATGTTTTATTCAAATCAGTGTCCTTGTTTTCAGCGGTCAAGGTTACCTGCAGGTATTTAAGGTCATCTAACTAAATAAAGTTTTTTAAGATTATTTCATAGCATGTTACTTTTGAGCTAATAGCAATGAGATGTACAGATTGGTACAAATACGTGAGAGATGATTTAATTAAATAGCGAATAATAATTGGATGATGATCAAGCTATACCGAGAATTGACTAAAATTAAGCAGATATAATCAATATTATATCTAAAAACATGATGACATAAACTTTATACAACTGAACATAACGGAGTAGATATCAAGTTCACTCGACATTTAGTACGGATGAGCACTGACCTATGGCGCAAATATCTTCTAACTGAGCTAATTTCTACAAACAAACAATTGTCTTATGATCACTAACGACTACATTCAAAATTGTTCTCGATAAATTTTTATGAGAAGTCGAACCTGGTAGAACTGAATCAACTTGTATGGGAGAAAGAAATTAAGTGATTTAAGGATCACTGGATTATGGCTGGATGATATCGGTTCATCATGAGATCTGGTAGTGAAAGTTATGTATTGGGTTGTCAGCTCACCTTACTGAGAGCCCCCGACATTTAATGGACAGGGATCCCGATGTACCTAGATTTTCAAAGGTTTACCAGCTGTTGTCTGTACTTCGAACAACTTTTTTGAATGATGAACGAATTGACTATGACAGAACCATGATTCGAATTAAACATTCACTGTCTAAATAGTATGTGAACTTAAAAGAATTGTCGATAACTTTTACCGTGATACGACTGGATATCAGTTAGTTAATTTTGTTAAAAGCAATGATACTCCAAAAAAACAGTCTATTTCACGTGAAATTATCACATAGACGGGACAATAAGTGATAAAAATATTTACCGCAAGTATTTGATTGATTCATGGATTGTTGCACATTGATGTCACACGAAGTGAAAGTTTCAGTGATCGTTATCCGAAAACCGTATTTTGTACCTACTTAACCATATTACTGTCCCACGAACAATCTGCAATTATGTTGCCTTTGCTGAATATTTCGTACATAAATGATAACTGTCATCAGTCAAACGTATATTCATTTAGTGGGGTGGGAGGTTTGCTTCTATCTTTTAACACTATATGTTCAGCCACCTCAATAACCATAATATTTCACAGAATATTTGTGCTGTTACAATCCCCTGGGATTCCTTACATTCAGTTTGGAAGACAAATTATTTGATCGATGTGTAGTGAGATTTTGCGTTATACGCCAAGCCGACATAAAACGTGTATACACATTTTAACGAATTACTTTTTTCCAGAAAAAAAGACTCAGTAGGATTCATTTATGAGTATTTATTAGATTGTATGAAATAAATATGCAATAACTGATGTCTAATTATTCTGTCAGTTAGTGATCCTGTCTTCTAAAATTCATTCTATTAGGTTGTTGTAATCGAACCTGTGGAGAAATTATCCAATGAGTTAACCCAGTTACCCCAATATGTTATCATTTTGTTATGATATCATTATGAAACATCTTCGATGATCTTCCCTCATCACAGATTTCTAAAGACGGTTAAGGAAATGACACAATTGAAGTTGCTGACACATTTCTTTACGCGTTAAGTAGACAGTAACACAACTACCAACCAATGAAAATGACTTGGTCATGTCGCAGGAATTGAAAAAGCTTGTGTATGATGATTTGGTTTTGGCTTGTAAGGAATTTAACAAGATTTTTAAGAAATTATTATAAGTTAATTTTAATAATTAACGCTTGGTTCCTTTAAAGTAACAATAAGAAAAGAAAGAATAGGTATTATCTAACTTATCGGTTATTATTATGTTTTACCAATAATTGTACCTTCTTGTAAATAAAAAAAGTAGACGGAAACATGTTTCTTGCATAGCACATTATATTAAATGGACAATTTAAGTCAAAATAAAATGATCTATATTAAGTTTTTGTTCAGATAAATAAAACTGGAATTGTGGTAATTTCGAGTAGTTCCCTCGTTTAACCAGAATAAATCTCGAATGTCAATAGATGCTAGTTTTTCATTTTCGATATTTGTATGATTCCTACAAGTAGTAAGACAGAAAATTAGTCATTAGTTCATAACGAGATTTATACACACAAATGGAATGACAATCTATTTAATAAATGATACTCCTTCATGATAAATGAGGTGATCTACAAAGTTAAATGAACTGAAGATATGTATGGGTCAACCCATTTTCAGATGACTAATAGTCCATGTCACATAATGTGGCATACGCCATTGAGGCGTTTGATTACAGTCGTTGTATAATTATGAAGTATTAGAGTTCTACACTAAATTTGAAATAGCTGAACGTAAAAACAAGTGTGAATTTCAGTCATGTAACGCTTAGCTGATGTTAATATTTGTGATGACATCTCGTTATCAAGAAAAATGACAAAAACTTTATGGAGCTATAAAATTATGTTAAAAAACTATGTCACGAAAAACTTCAGTTTTATAGTAGATAATTTGGGATTATAACAGAATATATCATAGGTATGTAAAGTAGTATTTAAAACAGTATTTTTTAATTTCAATAGTTGAGATCATGAGCCAATTGAAGCTAGACCACCATGGAAAACCTGGTAGCACTGGACAGCCGTTTCGTTCTATTGTGGAACTCCTCAGCAGTGCACATCCACGACCCCGCCCCGCGGGATTCAAACCCAGGTCCTACCAGTCTCGCGCCAGGCGCTTAACCAAGTAGACCACTGGGCCGGCATTCAATGGTGTTAATGTCTAACTTAAACTAATCCACGAAATTGAGCGACACATCCACCATTGTCATCAGTGAGTTACTACCTCACAACTGACCCGGTTGAACTCCACTGGTCACTGCTTCTTACTAGAACTCTAGGATATATCCTTGAAGCGAGTCACTAATGAGCATATGTTGATTGGTATCAGAAGGGGTTTTGCGGAGATTGTAGTAATTTTATTAGTTGAGATCATGAGTCAATTGAAGCTAGACCATCATGGTAAACTAACATAGAAAGTTTGTGTATTTCAAAAATATTGAGATGAGAGTAACTAAACTGAGTTTTAAGTAGATGCTATCGTACTTGAAATTTCTAGTAACATCCAAGATAATCAGATCCGAAATAACTTTTGAAATATTAGTGACATCAACAAGAATGTAACATTTTACTTAAAAACTATTTATTTCATATCGAATGAAAAATCGTGCTAGTTTAGCTATCATATATTAAAAGATTGTTCAGCATAAAGAAGAGAAAAAAATAGTCGTTTTATGTAAAAATTTAAAGATATATTAAATGGACTTCAAATAACAATCGATATAGAATACATTGACCATATAATTACAGTATTAAAACCTTCAGTTGTTAATTTAAGAGAAATTAAGTGCTAAGACTATTATCATTTCTATTATTTAAAAAATAGAGTCAGATTTACATCTAGAATGTCGATAAAATAAGAACAAATTCGTACTTGCAGCATCTATGGAAAGAAATAACACAATATAATGTCATGCTATAGAGTTAATTTTGCTAACGTTAAAATAATTCAGAAAGAGTTCAGGAATTACGTTGAATGAAACTTGGCGCTATCTTTATACAAATTCGTCTTCGTAGGAACGGAGAAACAAAGCAGAATTTACATAAGTGAAGATCCACTTTTGCAGCCTAATTTAATAACCAGATATATATTTAGGCTAAACCTATATATATATGTAATAGGGAAATCTAGCATTGAAGTATAGATTTCGTTTAGACTGGAAGTACTTATGCCACGTGTTAATATCTTTTATCACTCAAAATAAGTCATTTGACTAAGTCAAGACACAAAATGAAAAGAATTGATCAGGACCAATCGAATCCCTACTAATATCTGCTTAACCGAAATAATATGACACAAAGAGACAAGTTTCTAGTGCCTCCTAGTTTCGAATAATATTCTTAGTTAAGACCAACTCTTCGATCTACTTGAAATATAGATTGTCCTTGCAAAATTATTTACCTGCTTCATTCACTGATCTTTTGTAGCAACCATTTCTGTCCATATCGGATCATTCGGTCGATATTTTGAGACTGTACTCTAGAAAAGTATAAAAAATGTATCACTTGGAAAATAATTGAAACCAGTGTAAGGAACAGAAATGTTGTTGATTTGGAGTTACTTTTTTATCACCGAATTCTGTCTTCTGAAAAACCAAGAAGTACTGGGCAGTTTTCGTTGTATTTTAAGACCTCTCAGTTGTCCACATTTGATGAAATTAGCTCGCGACAATTGACTCGCAAGTTGTGATTTTAGACAGTATAAAAAAGAAATTCGCTCAAAAATTGAAGTATCTATAGGTTTCCCATTTAGAAATTTAGTTTCAACAATAAATTCATGTTATATGGTCACGGAGTTTTTCAGCTTATAGATTACAAACTAGGCCAGATCAATAAATAAATCCAGTGCTTAAAAAACTTTATCACACTCAATTAAACTGATCATAAAGTCTTAAAAAATATGAAAATTTTGATTTTTAAGGCGGCTTAATTATGACTGATTAATATTGATTTTTATGAAGTTAAAGATGGAAACTTAAACTAGCTTTTTTCAGGTTGAGCAATCCACGAAAGTAGGACACAGAGTGGTGATCAGTGTTACGGTATACATTTGAAATAACTGCATTTCTTATGAAAACGGTTTTGTTTCTTGATGAGACATCCGTCCTTTCAGTCTGTTGGCACCTAATATTCCTCCTTGATCTTCCTGGAAAGAAAATAGGGCATCTGCTCAGTTCCCTGTATGTCTGATATCAGTGCTCCAGCTGGCATGTTATTCGGTCTTACTACTTTGTCATTCCTGACTTATCTGATGTCCTTAATCACTTCTTCTGTTGGTGGGCTATCCACTGTAGTGAGATCTGTGTATACTAATTCAATGTTTGATGGGTTCAATGGGACTGGTTTATTCAAGAATTCTTCGAATTGCTCTGCCCATCTGTTCCTCTGTTCCTCAATCTCAGTGATTAACTTGCATTCATTGTTCTTGAATGGTCGCTCTAGTTTATCATATTTTTCTTCTGGCTTCTTCATTGTATTATGTATTTGTCTGATATTTCCTTCTCTTATAGGTTTTTCCTCTGTCATTGTTAGGTCTTCCACTTATTCCCACTTGTCAGCTCTAATGTTTGCCTTCACTCGTTTTTTGACTGCTGTGTATTCAGCGTATGTCTTGGCATTCCTTGCTCTTGGTCTCTTGTTGTTAATTTCTGTCTTCTTGTTCTTCCTTTCCTCAATGTTGTCTAGGGTTACGATGGAGATCTAATCCTTATGAAGATGCCTGTTGCGGCCCAGAATCTCCTGACACGTTGAAACTAGTGTTTCTTTGATGCTTCTCCATAGTGGTTTTCTCTTCTTTGAGATCTTGTAAGGCTGTGTTAAACTTTGTAATGCTGTTTCTCCAGTTGTCCAGTGTTCCTTTAGCTTCAGTCTCATCTTGACCACAACCACATGATGATCTAAAGCTATGTCAGCTCCTTTCTTGGTTCTCATGTTTTCCATGAAACTTTTGGACATTTTATTGATGCAAATATGATTGATCTGCTTTTCTGTGGTGTGGTCCGGTCAAACCCATACAGCTTAGTGTATGGGTTTGTGGGGGAATATTGTGCCACCTATAACCATTTTGTTGAAGGCTAATAAATTTGCACATCTCTCACCATTCTCGTTCCTTTCTATCAGTCCATGTCGCCCCATGATACCTTCATATCCGATGTTGTCCATTCCGACTTTAAAATTCGGGTCTCCTATCAGGATGGCCAAGTCGTTTCCTGAGCACTTCTGACGATCGACTTCACCCTCTCATAAAACTGTTCTTTATCGTCTTCATTGCAGTCATTAGTAGGTGCATAGTACTGGATAACATTAATTGTGATTCTCTTTGTCTTGAAGGATGCTTTGATGATTCTCCATCCATGAGATTTCCATCCTATAAGTGCCTTTCATTCCTTTTTGGATAGCATCAGTGCAATTTTTTCTATGTATGGGACATTTTGTTCTTCATGGTCGAAATTCAATAACAGTAATCGTGAAGTCAATTTTTTAAATTCCAATTTTTAAAACAGTTGTATTTATCCACGTAATATCTTCTCTCTTCTGTTTGAAGGACTCTGCAAGTCTTTTACATTGTCTGGACATTCCATGTACCTGCAGTAATTGTTGCTCCGGTTGTCAGAAGAGACATTATACTCGGTTATTTCAAAGAACCTTTGCTTTTACCATAAAGATATATTGAAAAGACTAAAAATTATTTTAAAATTTAAAAACTAATCAATTCGTAAACAAATAAGCATTCGATATTCATTAGACAAAGAATCGAGTACACTTTGTAACACAAATTTTATTTAATAGTCCTATTTCTCTAAAATTTTATCACAAATTCGTTGCAGTTCGAACGTGAAATGTAAGACAGAAACCGAACAACATAACAGTACATGATCGACTATTATTTGATAATTATAAATAAGAAAAAATAGATAGTGGCTAGCAGTGGAAACCACGACGCGCGTTTCGTCCTATTAGGGACTCTTCAGTTGAATGTACTTGCATCCTAGAGTTGATGTTCACTCCAGGACTCGAACACGGTACCGTTCGCTTCAAACGCTATCGCATTAACCACTTAGCTGCTGAGTCCTGATAGCCACTTGCTTGTATAATGGGGTGAAGTTTAAATTCACTTGGTGTTGTTTTTACTAGTAGCTAAGTGAATAACGCGATGACGTTTGAAGTGAACGGTACTGGGTTTGAGCCTCAAAATGAACATAAACTCTGAGATGAAGGTACATACAGATCACGAGTCTCAAATAGGACGAAACGAGAGTCCTGAATTCCATTGCTAGCCACCATTCATCTTTGTTTATAACTTTTGTGATTTAAGACGATATCGAGGCAATCTGCACAGGATGTACATATTCCAACAAAAGATTGATCAATTGCAGTCCTAAATAACAAAAGGGAGATACATGTAAAATACCCAACACCAAATGAATTTATAAATGAGAAACTACCAAATGATACATTTTGTTTTTTCAATCAAAAATTTATATGATTGAAATCAAATTTAGAGACATAACCTCAGTTTATGTTTTGAACAAAATCATGTGATTATTCAATCGATTTTTAGCTTATAACTTCTTTGTCATACATGTAGGATAGACAGATTCATTTAGATAGAGGGTTGTATGAACTGTCATTTTATTATTGTTTTTATATTTTTAATTTCTTTGGTAAAAGAATAGAAACATTAATGAGATGGATAATATTTAAAAAAAAATACAAGCAGATTTAGTCAATTTACAATCATTGGAGAAAATCTCATCTACTTAATTGGTTCATGTTTGTGATTTGTATGAACTTTAACCAATTACATGGATACAAGGATTTGTAATTCATAAGAATAAGTTTGAAATTCTACTATTCGTTTAACAAACCACAATGATTACTTTCTTTTCAAGTAATTTTTCAGTATTATTCTTCAAAGGCTAATTCTTAAACTCAATAGACGAAATAATGTAAATTCTGGTTCTCATTAATAAGGTATTTCGCATGAGTATGAAATAGTTGTTTAGTTTTACTTTTCTACTATTCCCTAGCTGATATCAATCAATTCATAATGAAAAGTATCTACAAACGATTCGAATTTTTCCATAAAACTATGACGATTAACAATTACCCATTATCTCGGGAGGGTGAGAAATCAAATTCCCACTGTTTAGTACCTTATCAGTGGGTTAACTAAGTAACTTTCAACCATTACACAACCGGTTACATATCTATCTCTCTTCGATTTTTTATGATTTATATTTTTGTTTGTCCAACAACAGGAGTAAATCTAAGTTTAATACAAAGATTTACATCAAATTGTTTGGTTGCAATAAAATCTCAATTCGTTATTTATGGGAGTTCATACTTCCTTATAAGCTAATAATTATATTTAAAGTAATTTGTACGTAAACAGTTAACAATGAATTGAATAACTTTATAATTAACTATCTTTCTGTTATGGTTCATTAACAATATGAATAAAATGGTTTTCTTTTCTTTTCAGAATTATATCCACAATACACAATACACCTTAATGTTCTAACATTGTGTTTACTAGACATTACAACTTATCTCTAAATCAGCTGATCTAATTTACTGATGATAAACTTATAAAATGTGATCTTTTCGAAATATAGTCATTTTTATTTTAATGATACTTTTTAAATAATCAAGATGGTAAACAAATCTACATATTAGCAAGTTCATGTTGATTTCATGTTTATTTACGTAAACTTACAACATAAATCAATGATGTTATATTTTAGTATAATTAAAAATAAAGTGAAAGTCATTAACCTATACAATTAGAAACAAATAATGTACGTTTGCCAATTTATTCAAATATATCAGAGTATATTTTAATGTTAGTCAAAACAAACCTTATTTAGATGTATACGATTAGTAATATCAACATTTTATTCAAGTTTATTAAATTTTTACTTCTGTGGCTAAATTCACATTCCTTACTATTCATAGATATACCTATTACTCAGGGATTCAATCATCTGGAACTATGTGTACTGTGAATGTCTATGGTTGGAAATTCTGTTAATAATATACCTTTAAAATTTGTTGTGTGTATATTAATACTCTGGGATTACAACACATACGTAGTGTTGAGATTGTCAATCGTATCATTTATTTGGGATGATTAATCAGTCCTAATCAACCGATGAGTGACTTAATTATACCCAAACTAGGGTTCGTAATTCTCACTTGAAAAATTTAAACATGAGTGCATTATATTTTGTTACACTATTGTGAAACGAATTTGATGACTCACACAATGTTAGCTTACCTCAACATCTGAGGGAAAACACGGTATACAATGGACAGCTAAGAAACAATTAGACGATTTGGACTTCGCAGATGACCTAGCCCTCCTATCGCATACACACCAACAAATGCAGAATAACACAGACAATGTAGCAGCAGTCTCTGCATCAGTAGGCCTCGATATACACAAGGGGGAAACCAAGGTCCCCAAATACAACACGGAGAACAGCAATCCAATCACTCTTGATGGCAAAACTCTGGAAGACATAGAATCCTTCACATACCTAGGAAGCATCATCGATGAACAAGGAGGTTCAGATGCAGACGTAAAGGCGAGGATTGGAAAAGCAACGGCCGCATTCCTTCAATTGAAGAACATATGGAACTCAAAACAACTTGCAACCAATATCAAAGTGAGAATCTTCAATACGAACGTCAAGGCAGTTCTACTGTACGAAGATGAAACTTGGAGAACTACAACAACCACCATCAGGAAGGTGCAAGGACTTATAAATAGTTGTCTGTGCACGATACTCAACATCCATTGGCCTGATACCATCAGCAACAGCCTTCTGTGGGGGAGAACACACCAGCTTCCAGCTGAAGCGGAAATTAGGAAAAGACGATGGAAATGGATAGGACATACATTACGCAAATCGTCAAACTGCATCACGAGGCAAGCCCTAACTTGGAATCCTGAAGGGAAGCGAAAAGAGGAAGGCCAAAGAACACATTACGTCGGGAAATAGAAGCAGATATGAAAAGGATCAATAGGAACTGGAAAGAGCTGGAAAGGATTGCCAAGGACAGGGTTGGATGGAGAATGCCGATGAGCGGCCTATGCTCCTTCACGAGGAGTAACAGACGTAAGTAAGTAAGTAACAATGTTAGCTTAAAGGACTTATCAAATTATTTATGAATTATTGTTTAATTATTACTTTATCGAATTACAAATATTATATAAGGTCGAGAAAATCCTTTTCAAGACGTGAGAATATACAATGGAGATGACAACAATGTATGCGAAACAAACAATACTAATATCAACTTAAACAGGCGAAGATGGCTCGAACTATACAAGTTGTGTTTAATTTCTCTGAATGACAAAGTCAAAGAATGGTAATAATCTTCAAGAATGTCGAATTTTGTAGTGACAAAATAAAAATCTTTAGACCCTTTCATCTGTTTGGGCAAATAGTAGAAAGAATTAGAATGTGGAAATCCAAAGTTGCATTCCATTGAAGAAAATGAATGCTGTTTCTAATTGATCATTAACAGTGAACATTTGTTAATCATTACTTTGATTTGTTTTTACCTAATTACTGCCTTCTATCAGTACTATCCATTACATATGTTATTCATATGTATATATGTATATAATGGCAAAAACGTTAGTACATTATTAAGTGAAGTGTTTAGTATTTAGTCAATTAATTCATTGTCCAAACATCTTATTTCTTATAATTCATAATCAGATTAAAGGTATTTTAAATACAAATGTGGAAATATGGAACAAGAGTGGTTATTTAAACAGGTGGATTTAAATTTATTTGATTGTACCCATAGGTTAATACTTTTGGAAAAATGTGAAAATCCTTGTTATTGTTATTTTTAATTTTTCATATTTTCTTATTGTTGATATTTAGGAATAGGATTAATTAGTTTCTACTGGATAACGTTCAATAGATAATGTGTTGTCATTTGAAGATAAAGTTACTCAGTTTGAGCTCAATTGTGAACAACAAAACCGGAATACGGGTACATTGCACTGACGAGTTCTGAATGGGAGGAAAAATCCGTCCTGTATTTCACTGCCAAATATCATACACGCTTGCTAATATATCAAATAATAATAACCATAGTAATAGTAATAATTATTCTTAAGTTTCTGTGTGGTGTTGATTTTGCCAAGCTAGATAGTTTAACTATGAAGCTTTTATTGTTATTCTGGACAACATCTTCATTTCCTAATTCATATACAAGTGAGCTTTCTAATCATTCCACAAGTGATCTATCTATTTATTATGACGACATTTTTGTAATTAGTTGTCTTGGTAGGTGTGGTCATCTTCGTTTGCTTTCGTGAAATCATGTTCTTACATGCAGCATTCATTCACTAAACGAGCGGGAAAACGCCTGAAGAAGATTGATGCAGTACACAAGTGGGACACTGGAAAACTCATGAGCCACAAATTCATAAGGGTGTGTCCCATCTCGAAAATATCCCCTGATGCATTCGGATTTAGTGAAAAAGAAGTTTAAACATCCAAGTCATTCACAAAACACTGTTCATCTTTCACTATTGACAGTTACTGCATAAATTTAAGGTAATTTGAGCTACCAATATGGGTCAGCTGAGATGATGGTGGCTAGCAGTGGAAGCCAGGAGGCGCGTTTCTTTCTATTTTGGATTCGTCAGCTGGATGTACCTGAATCCTAGAGTTGGTACTCAAGTAAGTAATACAAAAATGAATTAGCAATATGAGTGTTTATAATTCGGTTAGAATGGATAACAACAGAACATTCAGACATATCTTTACTGATAATCATTATTATGGTCATCAAAACCGAGGAATCAGCTAACGAGTCCCAAACAGGGAGTGATGCGCATCCCTCTTTTCACTGCTAGCCACATCCCATCTATTTTTATGCGATGTCAGCCATCTTAAACTGAACATAAGAGGAAATATAATGCACTGTTGAATTCTGTCGGACGTTAGTAGAACAGTAGAAAAAGTTTAGTCAATGATGTGAATGAGTCAAACTGACCCATTTTTATGTGTTAAATGAGATGGCTTTATTTTTTCTTGATTTTGCAGGCTTTAAAGGACATTTTATATTACCATGAAAAAATATCACAATGATTTCAGTTGGTTTATAAAAGTTGGCTTTTATATTACGGAAGAATATTAGACTAAACGCTTCTGAAGAATGTTAATGAATTCTGCTTCATTCAATTTTATTAATAGTTATGACAAACTAAGAGGAAATTTCAGGTAAATTGGTTCAGTTGAGTTTTTTTTAAGACAATTTATGTAGTAATTTTGGTGTTGAACTGTTATCAACAAAAGATGCATTGAAAATATTGGAGCATAGAATAACTAGTTAGACCTAGTTTCAGATCTATAACATACAACCACAGGCAGTCGATGATTTTTAAGTAGATATGATAATTTAAAATCAATATGTTTGAATCTAATAGCTCGTGTGTACACATTTTTAGGATAGTCTTGAACTATTTATAAAAAATAGATATTTGTTTTAGTTTATTGACAAGATCTTTCTTTTGGTGGAGTTTTGGTCCCTGAGCTGGATGGTTTGGTCGTGGAGTTTTCATCGTTCTTCTGGACGTCCAGAAGAACGATGAAAACTCCACGACCAAACCATCCAGCTCAGGGACCAAAACTCCACCCAAATCATCCACTTGAGCTAAAAATCTTCTCAACCATCTCAAGATCTTTCTTTTTTGAATGAATTCATATAGTAGTTGAATCATATCCAAATATTTAATTAATATAAGAACTTACTTTTAATTGTCTAATTTGTTTTGCTTGTTTCCTAATAGTTTCTTCTAAATCATTTTGATATTGTCGCATAGCTAATTGTTCTTTTGATATTTGATACAATGATATATTATTCTGTAATAGGAAAAATCACTACAAGCTTTATTCTCTTTTTTAAAAAGGGTTTGTTCGCTATATAAGTAACAAATAAATGTGTCACAGTTGATAAGTTATGTGCAAAGATCATTCTATGTTGCTATGCTAATTTGTTTCTAAACTAAAATTTTTATTAGTTATTCTTCATTAGGGATAAACTATTGAAGTATGTAGATAATTTTTAAAACTATAGAGAGCTAACGTAATTTAAATAAAACTAGTGGTTATTGAATCGATAAACACCAATTAGTGTTATTATTATGTCAATGCAACAGGTATCAATAATGAATAAAATTGCCAATATTTATGGGTGAATTTTTATTATTAGTAAAATAACATCATATGTTATAATCGTTATTATTTACTCTTTCAGTGTACTAAATTACCAATGGACTGTATATGACAAGCGTGTATCCATTCTTTCAAGAGTAGTGAAAATTTAGTTATTGTCGATAAGGATCTGTAGACTTGTACTCTTTTTAAAATAGGATTTAAACACATCAGTATTGGGTTCTGTATCGTTGTGATAGATATGGTAATCGGAATTTACACATTACTGAGGATGCAATTATCTAGAAAAGAACGAATAGTTTTGTGCATTTTTTTAGTTATATGAATACTGGATCGTTTAGTTATAAAAACGAAAACGGATTAATTTTACATTCATACTAGTTCATCGGTTTGTCGCGTTTTATGTAATTCCGTTAATATTATATGTTTACCGTACAGTAAGTTAACTTATACGTAAGTTATCAGATTTATTCGTTTCTTGTACTTTGTATCAAGCAACAAACATATATTCGCTAAACGGTATTTGCCTTACTAGGTATTATATACAGTGGAAACAAACCTATTTTGTTTCGACGAAAGTAAAATAGAGAATTTCTGCAAAGCAGGGTTAATCAATTATTATTACATACGAAATCCTAGTCATACTGACTTGTTATTAAAGCCGTATCAACCAAAACTACACCCTGTGTCTAGTATTTCAATTTGTTAAATTTTTTTCAATTCGCGCTCCATAAGAGATATGAATCCTTGCTATGCACTGAAGCGGTCAAAGGTATTACATTTCAGTGTTCAAATTTGAAATGAGTAATCTATTCGTGATTTCTTTTAATCCGATTATCAATTCACTTTTTGTTCCATATTCTGAATAAACATCTTTCATTTGTATTTCTGCATACTTTTCTCTTCTCAGCTACATTTATCACAGTTTTCTAAGTTTGTTAATAACTAATAACTTAGTTACTATACTATAGTATATTCATCCGCTTACAACTCTTAATGAGCGTTCATTAGTTATACTCCACTGAACAGATAAAATTTCCATCTCAGTTTCAATACATTTAAAACCTTTATAAACCTCCATCATAAGTTATTTGCTTGTCTTATCCTAACACTTGTTAAATTTTTACTTCCTTATATTATTATTATTTTCACCCTTATATTCCTTCCTTGATTATTACGCAAGCTCATTTGATAATAATTCATGATGCAATCTTCTATTCTTCCACGGACATATATTTTCCATATAACTAAATACGAATGTACAGCTTAAGTAAATGGTTTTTCTCACTGAATTCTCTTTATTTTTATTCAATGACACAATAGGATAGTTTAATTCCACATACATTAAACACAATATATACATTTGGTAAAAAACAATGTGAATACACAACAACAGAGAATAATAGAAATAATAATTAGAAAAAGATCAATATTAAAAACCAATGGGAGTATTCCTGTCTAGAAAATAATTTTCCTAAAGTGTTAACATAATGTTCATTAATATAAATAGCCGTATTATGCAATCAGCTAGCTTGTAGGGACTTATTCAAATTAATGATAGTTTTCATTATATAAGCGAATAAATATTTGGAAATCATAACCATAGAATAGCTGCTACATCTTTGTTTACGATTGCCTAGCAGCTTATATCCATGACCCTAAGTGAAATCGAACCTAAGATTCTCAAGTTTCATGAATACTACAACACCTTCAAGTTAATAACTGTGATGAAACAACCTGTTTATGATTACTGGTTTTGAATGACTACTAAACCTATCAATATTATGCACTACTGAGAAGCTTTTTATTGATGAAATTTTCAATTGATTTCAAAATTATCAAATACCTATTTGTTATTGAATTAAAATTGAAATTAAATTCGAAACATCATGACTGCATTGTGAGGCTACCGGTTTAACATTTAGTTATAAGTGATGTTACCTTTTAACTTTAGTCATCGTTTATAAATATCAATGTTCTTAAACAACCACTTATTCCTAAATCCTTATAATATTTAAGGAGCGTTTATTTTTCATAAATAACATACTAAAGTTAGGTTTTATGAATTACTTTTTCCGGGTACGTCATATGCGTTGGATTCATTGGAGATTCACGTTGGTGATGATTTTGATCAGGTTGTGTATATTCTTTGTTATTTTGTTTGCGATCATTAATACTTTTATCATCATTACTTTTGTTACTCTCATAAGTTCCATCATTTCTTTTCACATTATTTGTGTTGACACTACTACTGTTGTTATTGTTAGTATTGTTGGAAGTTAATTTCTGTAAAACAGTTTTATAATTCTCTGATAATTGATTATTCTCTTCTTGTAAAGTTTTAATTGTAACCTCTTTCAGTTGAATTTTCTGTTGTAATTCTTCATATTCATTGAAAAGTTTTTGGTTTTGTCTTGATATATTATCAAATGTTGTCTAGAATTTATTTTGATCATATTTATGAAAAATTGTAAACAAATATTTTGGATAGCATAAGCTTATAAGAGAAACAAGTATGATTCAGCAGAATTCACGCAAACTCCATTTCAAATTGAATACTCACTGACTAGATGATACTGAGGGCTCTGGGTTCGAACCCCGTGAGCAGGATCGTGGATGCGAACTACTGAGGAGTCCCACAATAGCACGAAACGGCCGTCCAGTGCTACAGGTTTTCAATGGTGGTCTAACATCAATTGGTTCATGATCTCAACCAAAAACTTAATAATCTCTACAACCCTATACTGATAACTTCGATAACAGCTGAGAATGATAATAATGTGATACGAAATAGACATATAATAAGAATACTAATGATTTATAAAATAGGAAGAGATAAGGAGAGTTAATAAAAAAAGAGATCAGGGCAAGTGATTTTAAAATAAAATAGAAATAACATCTTTTTGAAGAAGTAACGGTTCCAAGGTTTACGAGGACAAACAAAGTGGATAAATATATAATTCTGTGTGTATACATAAGAATTGTTCTTATGCCCTTTAATTTGGATATGCAAGACATTTCAGTGACTTTCAGTAAATTATTCTGAAACTAATGTATATAATCAAAAAAATTCATTTCATTCCATGTCCGTGTGATTAACGTAAAAATTGGTTGGAGACTGAATGACATTGCTCAAAATCGTTTGCAATTGCGTAGCTGCATCCATTGTTTGTCCTCCTCCAAATTCTAAGCTTTCGGATTCCTCACAACTTTTGTTGTGCTTTTAATTTCATGGCTTTATATTTTCTTGAATCGTATCTTTGATGCCTAATCTATACTATTACCAGTGATACTGTTACTACCTCTACTATTCTGGGATTCGAATTGAAAATCTCATTTCTCTGTGCTGATGGTATATGGCAACTTGAACCGGCGTACATACATACCAGGTACTACGTTGTGACTTACTGACTGTAATCGTACAGATGGAACTTACTGAAAGGATTATTTGTTTTCGTAATGCGAAAGATGTGGGTTGTTTGCAGACTCGGTAAGTGTTATTCTCATCAATTAGGAAGGACATTTATGGACATTCACTGATTAATCCCTTTAGTCACAACTTAACTAGCTTCATAGGATCAACTAAACATACACTGATTATCTTACCATTAATAACATTGATTAGCTGTATATTTACTGGTTCATTTGCGGAATTGATGAACCAGTTAAATTCTCAAGAGGTATTATATAGAAATCTGATGATGTGATAAGTTACCATATCATTAGCTGTATCATCTTTAGATGTAGTATTAATTATAGTATTTTAATACTCACAGTCACAACATTTATCTCCTTGCTAGATCCGGAAATATAATCAATTAAACTAATTAGAAACTCATTTGACAGCTACGTTTTCTTCAGTTCCTTTATTTCTCCTTCTACATTGTCCTCATAACATATGAATCTGACCATTCAAGTGAAGAAGTTAGACAGATTTATTTTATCATAAAAAGATTTGAAGTCTAACTTTTGTTCAATGTTACTTAGTTTATAATGATTTTTTTAGGTACTTTCGACCTGTAATAAAAATTATCCTGAAATTCATACAAAGTTTTCATCAACTACTTAGTCTATTTTTGCTATATCCAAAACAGTCTTCATGAATTTTTTCTTTATATTTTTGACTACATAAAATACATTTGAGCTCTGTGACACTATTTTAATGAATTATTTTGTATATTATATTTTACAGAGAAGTACTTATTAGCAAATCGAACCAGTATGAATAAGTCTATTTGTTTGTCTAGAAGAATGTTGGAAACTGGAGACAAATTCAAAAAGTTGTATATGGCATAAGAGTTCATGTGAAGGATGACTATGTTCCTATTACATAAATCTATAAATAACCATTTAAATCTATGTGAGTAATAACACAAGCAAACAGAACTCATTGAAAAAATATAGCCACTTCATTTTTACCCATTTTCCTGATTATTCTGTATTTTTAAATGAAATACTTGTATATCAATAAACAAAAGGATCAATGTTGATTCTTTTGATTATATAGTTAATGCGCACTATTTTATTTCTTGAAGTAATCTCAGTGAAGAAATCATACACGAAACAACAGAAAACAGAATATACATTTGAACTGAATGTTAAAGAAAATGACATTCATACATTTAATAATCGAGTCCTACTGATATGATGACTATGGTTAGCTTTACATATACAGGCTGTTCTAATTCGTGTTGAAATTGATATGTACTATCAAAGTTGATTTGTACTTAATTGTAACTCTACTAATCGTAAGCAAACTGTTGAATGAACGTCTTCATATATGAAGAGTATATAATGACTAGTCTTGTAAACAGTATTATACAACCTTATTATTATCGATTTAATTCAGATTGTAATTTTATTAAATAAATCTAAGTCATTCAATCAGTGTTTCTGTTTGTACAGCTAGTTGATCGTGAATCGTAATTCAATGATAATTCTCTGGACTATAATAAAGCATAACTTCGATTTTTACATCATTTATTTCAAAACTGTAGTTTGAATCATACGTTGAGTCTTAATAGTAAGTGGTGAATAACAGGATTCTAAGAAGTAAATTATGATCTATTCTGAGTAGCTGAAAAATAAACATGAGTAGTACTTCAGAAAGTTCATAAAAAAGATAAGATAAATGACAAATATTGTAATACATTTTTTTGTAACAAGAATCACTTGCTTAAAATAATCCACAGTATCCAATGATAAAGAATCCACTAAAAAATTATACAAACTGTTGTCTAGTGCTTTGTACTTTTTTATTTTAGCGTGAATTAATTAATTCATGGTTGAAACACCCATGGATCCATGACAAATGCTACTTACAGATTAGAATAATCACTGAGAAACCTTTTCATCTCAACTATGAATTAAGTAATTTGTCTATTTTCTTTTCACACCTACCTGTAAATTAAATAAATTCGTTTGATGTATCTCCAAAGCTTTTTCAAGTTTTTCATTTTTCTCTTTTTCTTGATTTATGATAAATTGTGTATGACGTTGTATACCGGCAAATTTAATTACAATTATCTATTTAAACAATGAATCAAAGTTAGAGATATATACATGGAAAGTAATTGAATTATTCAGTAGAACTAATTTTAATGATTATTACCTAATCATTTAAACATTTGTTTTTGTAACAGATTGACATACAAATAAGAACCCTTTTTCATAAATTTTGGAAAAGCCATGAAAAGACGGAGTTGATCTGTTCAACCGAGTTTTTTGCTAACAGAATACTGTCTGCAAAAACTAATAGAAACTAGTAAAAATAAAACCATCTGGTTTAATTCACAAAACAACTGATTGTCATGACGTATTCACAATATTAACCACATCCTTACTACTGTTCTACAAATGTCTAACATAATATAATATTTTGTTGCAAAAAGTGATCTAGTCAATATGACATGATTGATATTTAATTCCACCAATGAAAAAAGTGTGAATTAAAGTAAACAAAATGGTCGCTGGGATTATGACGTTGTTTATACTGTTGGACACTTAGATTCATCAAAATACAATATTATCAGCGATTGGATTACTTTAACGCTTTATGTTTTCTCTTTTATTCGGTTTACGATGGTTGAATCCATAGTCATGTTAACTGCACAAGCCGAGTCCATAAACACATCTCTGAATATTCTGTTATTATCCGTTCTAATTAAATCATAAATACACATATAGTTAGCTTAGATTATTTAAAATTTATGTGATAATTGTTAGTAATTAATGATCTAGCTAAGTGGATAACGCGTTGACGTTTGAAGCGGACGGCACTGTGTTCGAGTCCCAGAGTGAGCATCAACTCTGGGATGAAGGTACATACAACTCACGAGTCCCAAATAAGACAAAACGCGCGTCCTGAATGCCACTACTAGCCACCATTCATCTTTGCTTATAATGCTTGTGATTTAAGACAATATCGAGGCAATCTGCACAGGATGCATATATTGCCACAAGAGACAGATCGATTGCAGTCCTAAACAACAATGGGAAGATACAAGCAAACAACACCAAGTGAAAAATGTATAATGCTTGCCAAATCAGTTGAATGTTCGAGATTCCTGCTCACTAAATCTGAATAAACTATATGACATTTTCTCATATAAGTCACATAATATAATATCAAGAAGTGATACTTTAAATCATGACACTGATATGCCGAAAATGGAACAGTGTTTAAACGTCTTGAACACAAATTCTAAATAAATTATTTAACATTTTCATAAATAAATTTCTACATAAATCATCAGGCAATATGAAAAAATAGTAAAATGATGATAGAAATAATAAGTTCACAAAACTGTAAATTGAATAGTGCCCATTTATAACTGAATACAATTCAATTTTACTCTTGTCTGGGTTTTGATGTTTGGAGAGGTCAGATACCAAGGGTCATATATTAAGAGGCCATTAAAAATTTCTTTAGGTCTTGTTCAATACTACTTATTGATACATATTTACACATGGCTTAATTCAATTATACCACGTTTCCTAATGTATGCAATCTACTTAGACCTCTTATTCATAATCTTATAGTCAATATTTCCAACTTTGAGCTATTTGAAAAATGTTATTAACTAAGAGAATCATTGATTTTCGTCTTAGCTTTATTGTAAATATTATTCTTTTCTTAGGATACTGATTGTGAATTCAAATCATGATGACGATTTGCTCACTGTAATCAAATTAGCTGTGGAAGAGAATATATGAGGTAGGAAATCGAGGGTTAAGAAGCATCCTCCATTGTATTGGAAAACTGAATGTTTATGCTTCTTTTTCTTACTTACATATCTTTCGTAAGTCATTAACTGTAAAGACAATAAATTAGTCTATACACAATCAACAATGAGAAGGTATTGTCTATTCTGAAAACGGCTTAACGTTTTCATCAAGATCTTACTATAATAAACTGGTCATGATAGATGCTATATGTGTGGTAGAACAATTTATGACTGGAAACAAGTGTGAGATAAAATGTTATTAATCTTTTTCAACCTAGTAACTACAAATATGAAGAAATCTCTTGTTTCATATATTTTAATAGTATTAGTATGAACTGTGAACTAAAACGTAAAAGAACAAATTGGCTAATTAATTTTATAATCATCCAATTAAATGATTTGACTGTTTTGTGATAAGCAATTTGTTTGACAATCAAAATAACTTAATAGTAACAACATCAATAAAATGCTTTCGATTGATCTTCGAAAAATAAATAAAAAAGAGAAAAGCTTTAAAAAAAGGGAAAGATGATGGAAGTATATGTATTGTGATATTGATTATTACCATAACAACTGGAATGGTTAATTTGTCTCGATTTATCTAAAAATGGCGAATTTTTGTAGACCAAATCTGTTTCCTTTTTTTCTTACGTTTACTGATATGCTACTCTATCTCGTTAATGATCACCAATATGTGAAAATATCAGTTAGACATACAAATGTCAATCATTTAGTTGAAAATTACTTTTAAAAGAAAATAATAAACTATTAGGGTTGATACCTATGATCACATAAAGTATTAAAAGAAATAAACTTCTGAAATGATATGATGTGATTAGAAAACGTTAAACAGTTTTCAGTCCCAAAAGTATTTGACGAAAGTTGTAAAATATACCTAGGTAACATTTAAAGGTAGTGTTTTCAAAGAATAATATTCTGAATAAGTATGAATGTAGTGGTAAAGTGATCTTGTTAATCGACTCTTAACAAATAAGTTTCCTTACTAGAAGTATTTCAAGAATTTGCATCTGGGTAGCTAGGTTGCAAAGCTTTAGCAGTACGACTTATACTAGTGTACAACAATCTGTATTAGGATGAGCGGTGTATTATGGTTACATTATACGAATTTCATATTGTGAATTTATATATTTTCGGAATTCGTCTTTTTGAGAAATTTTTTTCCACTTCCATTTTGAAGGTTTCTTTTCATGTAACTTCTCAACGAATTGAGCTTCTATATGACTGATTATTCATTATCGACTACTTTTTTATTAGCATAGTGGTTTTGTAGAAATTGTTAAATTTTCTTAGATTGAATCACGGACTGAACCTAAACAACCATGTTTTCACATATAATCTTGTCTTTATCGCTCAGGTTTTGAATTTTGTCTTTTATCGTTATCGATTCCTTTTAGGAATTGATCCCGAGATATCATTATTGCATCAAGAATTATCATATGAGTCCTGCTGAACTTCAGATGAGTATATGTAAAATACATTGGGAACATTGATCACCCAAGAAACATCACTGCAGTTATGATAACGACTTCATCTTTGACTTTAATAGTGTGATAAAACGTTTTGCTAAGTCCTAATAGTAGTATGTCTTACTTGCAGAAATAGTCAATAAACAGTAGATTAAAACGTATTCAGTTAAATGGAAGCTTTTTGTTACATAGTAAGACTTAATAAGATTGTACACATGTACTTGATTTTTATGACTTGAAATCACTATTTAACATAGATTATACTGAATTTAAAGATTAAATAGTAATCTTGCAAAATTTGCTTAACTCATATTTAACCACCACTTGAAAAATATTCATAAGAATTTCATCTTATCTGTAATGTTAAACTGATATCCAGTTAAGCATAAAATGAAATTATGTAATGAGTATGCTTACTCAACAAAATTCCATCACTTACTTGTAGTAATTGACTATAGTCTTTAAGAATTTGAATTGAATCTTTCAGACGCTTGAGTAAGGATAAAGAAAATAGGATATTAAATAATTATATACTTATTACTGGAAAGACAGACATATCATTTAAAAAAATATATAGTGGAAGCTTGTTGTAAGGGATGAGTTAAAGAAAAACTATGTAACTTTTACCAAGCTTAAGCCAATGAGGATAAACTCCAAGCACCTCAAGACATCCGCTAATATCAAAACCGAGTTGACTTAAATAGATATTAAGTCTGTTTATTTACCTAATAGACCAAAGAGGACAAGTTAAGTCAAATATCATACCATTCAGGTCATTTTAGTTTTCTGTAATTACTCATAAAGTGTATTATTGTTCAACTAACCAATTTTCAGTACATTTCGCCTTAGCCAAACGACTAGTTACATTGAAAAGCATTAGATCGGTATGTCAAAATAGCTCAATCTGATATTTGATTATATCATTTGTGTCATAGAATGAACAAAGATAATGAAAGAAAACCTGATTCCCAATATAATCCAGGCTAGAGATTTCTAGTTTAGAGTTTTCTTTCTCCTTCGTTCCATTCATAACTCCTTTTTGCATAAACTATTCTGAGAGCCTGGTCTTTCTCACATAGCTTTATTTAAAAATTAGATTACAAACTAAGCATATTTTATGAAAAAAATATGTCCAAATAATTACTTTTACAATCAGATCAGTTAGGTCTTTCGAATGACATTATGTGTGTTTGTTCAGAAAAATTAAGTCGAACCACAGAATTAGTGACAACAAGTTTAGAAATTTTCAACTAGTTAAAGAACTGATGACAATCTGAGATCGAGGAATGAATGTCGAAATTAGTTATATGACCCTTCAGTAACACACACTCATGATCGCATTACGAATAAGGTCTTAAAGTTTTGAAATGGGACTGATTCTATCTATTAACTAATTGCATGTATAAACTCACCTCTGAAAATTATTCTAGATGACTTTCAAAAAGCGAATGCTAAACAAAAAAATAGTTTAATGCCGAAACATCTAATTAATTTTAATCACACTGCCCCATCAGATATATCCTCCATTGCCAAACGGTTTAGTTCGATGGAAGCACGGTAAATTGATTGTTTGTTTTTACTAACGTTTTTAATTTGAAATTATTTCTTATTATTACCTCCATGTTTTTGATTTATTCTTCACTTCTAAAGTGGACAATTATCTTTCATACATTCGGTCTCATTGTGACGCTTTTTTTGAATTCTAATTTGTTACCTAACTCTCTTTAGGTGCTTGGAATCATGCAGTCTTTTTCATCTTTTTTAAAAGACTATTTGTTTACTAACTATAAATACGGTTGTAATGGCAGACTAAATAACATCTCTGGAGAGAAAATCTTTTTCTTTGAATTGTCTGTAATTCTTCAGTGACTAGATGCCCAGAAATTGAAAATTCTTTGCTCACCTGAAAATGATCCTTACTTTCTGTTTGACTTTTAACTTGGTCTACTGTTTTCTTTATTTTCTCATTAAAAGCAAAGATATGATTAAAATGTTCCTGTAAAAAAACATAACATTTTTTGGAAACCACAGAAAGTTTTGGAGTAATATTTAAAAAGTGATTTTTATGTCTAGCTTATAGGATTGGTTTCAACTGTAGAATACTATCATCTTAAGATATCCTTATAATTATAGATTATCAGTCAGTTAGTTCTTCCATCCTTATTTCCGACTCTTCAATATTGTATATATCCCCTATATTCATGATATCGTACAGACCTAAACCAAAACATTTCAAGTCATCCAAAGAGTAAGACAAATTTAAATCATTGAGTTGGAATACATTGGATAGAGAAATTCGTCGTGAAAACAAATCGTTAGTGTGGTTTGAATTATCGTCCGTTCAGCAATTTTGTCTCCTCAATAAAATTGCTGAAAGCTTAGGTTTTATTATGGGACAACTATTACCGGAGATAACTGTTGAAAAATAAAGGATAAAAGTCTTCTATAAATATTTTAAACAGGGAGTTTTTGGGAAATAGTTAAGGTTATATCCTGTGTCATCTACTGAGCTTGACTAGATAGGTGTCACCAATCAAAAGACATGATGATAGTAAAGTATTGCAAATTGACCATACCTCAAATTATAAACCATTGAGAACTAACTTATTTCTCTGATGGTTATATGCTCAACGTAAGTTCTAAATGTCCTGGATACTGTCTTCGGCAAGGCTGTGGGCAAGAGGACGAAATAACTATCCAGCGCTCGCTAATTTCTAATGTTCATTCAGACAAATTCAGTTTATGGTAAAAAAAAAGAGAATATTGAGATGATGAGTCAAACATATCGGGACAATACATTGTGAAAAAATGAATTATTTCTGATATATTTAGTTAACTTTTAAATTTACTTACTCCGCTCATTTCACATTGTTTAATTTCGGCTTCCATCTATGAATAAAGAGTTAATTAAAATGCATTCTAATTACTCATTGAATGCTATATATATATATATATATATATATATATATATATATATATATATATATATATATATATATATATATATATATATATATATATATATATATATATATATATATATATATACTCAGTTGAAAGGGAGTATTAGTTGCTCGTGAGGATGCCTTTGTTATTATCACCTACACTGAAATATATGGCTATCATTGTCGTCCTGGATGAAATCATCAACACCTACTCAAAGTGAAACCAGAGAACACAACATTACTAATTTATCTATCTATATGTTATTAATGACGGCCTGTAGAATCTCAGTGCTGATATTTGGGAATGAATTTTGACCAACCGTTTCTGTGATATGTGTATCTTGAACGAATCAATACGATATTGCCATTTTGTCCCGAATATCAAGTACGAGAAATCACAAACTCTTACCAATGATAGAAATATTGTACTCGTTGAAGTTAGCAATCATCTGTATTCAGTACTGCATCGAACAACGGACTAGCATGTGAAGCAAAAGAAACTAGGTTCTCATTTCAGTGTAAACACAACCATTAGGATGTAGATACATCTTCTTACTGAGTTCCGAAAAGCAAGAAACGGGCGTCATGGATTCCACTGCTAAATACGGTTCATACGTATACATCATCTTCCAGATGCTTCGTATACAAACCCCACTGTCGAGTAGTATTTTTAAACTAATGTAATCACCTAAATTCTTGATCATTCACTAGATGAATATTTCTTTGATAACTATTCTGAAGGGAGCTACTTAGTAATTATAATGGTTTTTTGCTCTTGAATCTTACATTGTTAAATAATAACTTATTTAAATGACACACTGTGTGTTTAATGATTATCTTTAGTAACATAATTGCGGATTATTCACATTATGATACTATTTACTTAAATAAAGATTAAAAATTCGTTCTAAGATGATAGAGAATTTCACAGCTGAAGAAGAGAATTTGGACGATATTACACTCTCAAAGTTGGCTGTTATAAATTTTGGGGCTTTCTATTATTTTTGTAAAAAAAACCCACTTTCCTTTACAACCTATTTATAATGTTATCTTGAAAGGTAATCAATAAATTCATGAATAAATAACTTAATTCGGAGAACATAACATTATCATGTCTTAGAGACAAAAGATAAATAGTAAAAGGAATTCATTCTAAAAAAGAAATGAATTTAAAAGTACAAACACTTTTGAATTTAATTTTTAATGATACGTTTATAACATTTTACTCGAATTCATAGTACAAAGAGAAACAAACAAAAGTTAAATAATTTCAACAGTTTAGATCATGAATCAATTGAAGCTAGACCACCATGAAAAACCTGGAAGCACTGGACAGCCGTTTCGTCCTATTGTAGGACTCCTCAGCTATTATTAAATCATTTATTCTTTTTTACCATTCTTTATTACTTTCTTCAATGGAATTTATTTAAAATAATCCATATAAAAATAGATATGCCTAAAAAATGATGACAATATTGTGCATTTCTACAAACTCACTTTTTAACATCAAACTACTATTATACTAGTTAGCAGTATCAACTGAACAACCCGTGACATTTAACGTTTCATTGTCAGTTTACTAATTAGTAAGAATTTATGTTTTAAAGTAGGCAAAAATGAAATACTGCAGTTTTCATTTTAAATTTTAAAATGAAGTTGCATAATAGTGATAAGCAATTCGATATCTACACTATGACAATCTACTACTAGTATATTAACTTCACTCATAATTTTTGTTGGGGAGATCAAGAAAATTCCTCGACAAAAGCTCAGAGAGACCATGAAAACTCTGGGAAGCATCTTATTCAATCAGCATCCAGTAGGCGTATTTTTGAAACATATGGGAATTGAAAACTCATGTGTCAGATTTCTGATTGGATGAATACCTATCTTGCTACTATGTTTAGAAGGGTTCCAGAACTTTCCAGAAACCCAAGACCATATGAAGTGCAATAAATACCCTAAATGTTTTGTACATGAACTAAACTTGGAGTAAAGCGTTCTTCCTATATTTCGAGCTTTTTCTCTCGTGTTCAAGACGGCGTGTAGATTTAGTCTGGGGGTTATTAGAAGAGCTTAGAAAACCGAATCAAGCGTTCATTTAGAAGATTTATCAATTTTTATCGTAAAAGATGTACAGATTTTAAATTTTTTTCAGGCCAACAAAAACTCACGATTATTTTGGCTTATTGTTTAATTGTATAATCCAGTTGAAATCTACTTAAACGAGGTCGTCATGTTATAGTACAAAGGTTTTATTATTGAAGTTCTGTTGTTCAAATCATAAAGTTAAGTTATTCAACGTGACTGAATAGTATAATAAGTATTGAATGATTTCAGGCAGTCAAATATACACTTTCATTTTATGTTTTGTAATATATATATATATATATATTAAGGAAGCTTGTTTGGATATTTATAAGAATTTATGAACCCACAAAACATTTAATTGTCCTATCAGAGTTCTATAGGCGATCTGTTACACCAATTAGTTATTCCCAACTTCAAACAAGCTCATCTTACATGTGAAATAGAATTATTTTATTATAACCACAAACCAAGAGCAATATCAGTGAATCGTTTCCTTCAAAACTTAATGTATGATATAGTGGACTAAATAGCTAATCACTTACATAATATTCTTATTTTTATCATACTTCAGTCATTAGAAAAAAACAGACAGTTCCATTTTATGAAAGGTTATGTGACCATATGGCAAGGTAATATGGCTCATTTTAAATCTTCCTTGATGTTAACATGAATATTCCTCATTTTTGAATTAAAATTTATGTTTTTAATTTCTGGGACAAAACGAATGGACCCAAATTATATATATCCTACTGATAGCTCCTACACACTGCACTTTATTTTCAGTGATACCATAGAACAGTAAACATACAAACAAATTTAACTAACTTAATGGCTTCATACTCGTAGGTAGAATTGAGGATTCCTGGCCCAAATATTTATGGTGTTGTGGATGTACAATGGTGATAGTTCCAAATATATATATGAACACGATTATAACCTTAACAAAGACCGAATTTATATTAAATGATTCTTCATTTTGTCAAATAATTTTAAATCCTAGATTTTTTTCAAAACTGTTACATATTTCCCAACTATATTTTGTGTATGATTATCTTCAAAAACATGTGAATTTCTTTCAGACAACTGTGGTGTAATGCGAAGCAACGTTTTTAGATGGGAATATTCGATAATAAATTTTCATATGTATTTTATTGATTAGATATTCTGTTATTGTTTATTAGTTCCGAAATAAAAAATTTTTTCGCAAGTGAATAATTTTCAGGAGTGAAATTATATTAATAAATGTACGGGTAACAAGTCATTAATTTTCATTGATGCATTTATTTTTTATTGTATAACTTTCATAGTTGAATTCACGAGTCAATCTAAGCTAGATCATTACTGGAAACCTGGAAGCAGTGAACAACTGTTTCGTCATGGCATGGGACTCCTCAACAGTGCGTATCCACAGTCCCGCATACGGGACTCGAACGCAGGACATTCGATCTCATGCACGAACGCTTAACCTCTAGACCATTTAACCGGCATCCAATGGTAGTCTAGCTTATATTGACTCGTGCATTCAACTGTGAAAATACTACGATCTCCACAAGTCTTCATACTTTATTGTATAATCTGAAACGACTTGATTTCTTAGAGTGGCTTGACAAGTTCTTGGCCATTTTCAAGTGATGAGGATTTTAATTTCACATGATAAGATAGTAAGTTTAGATCTGATACAAAGTCCCTAGGTTTTTAACTTACACAACAATTAGTGTTAGTTTTCTTAGTAGTGATACTATACTATATTTCGATTAATCTATACATTAAAGTAAGCTTAAACAATGCCTTGCTAGGCTGCTTAAATTTCTTCACTATCTCTATTTGATGTGAGTTTCATGATGAGTAAAACAGTCAGTGCATTAAACTATTTTACTTTCTACGATTTAATCTGTTTTTATACTCACCAATCCAGAAATAAAACTTGGGATTTACAGGGAGGAAAGTGAACTCTATGCCTGACGTTATGGCACGTGAACGAAAGTATAAATACTGCATGAAATATTAGGTAGAACGTGTATCCTGTACGATGAAAACTTTATTGTCTGGGATATTCAGTTGCTTGTACGTCACTCTAACATATATCGCTCTATAATTTAAAAGTTTGCTTCAATTTAAGTTGTTTGTTCCATCTGTTAATTGACTCGCATTTATTCACCTAAACGGTCTTGTATGAGATTCCTTTTACATGTTCCAACAAATTATGGACTACAGTAGAAGATCATACTTTACTAGTATAATAGGATCCTTATTTATAATGCCGTATTTAATGTCGCTTTTTAAATAAATTGTTTGATTTTCGAATTGAATTGAAAATAAATCTCAGTTGTTTTCACTAAAGTTCTGAGGCTGTTGTACAATACTTTAACCTGGTCCTGATATTTCTGAATTATTATTATTATTTAAACACATAAACTGGTACAAGGGGGCGCCAAATACATGTGCGCCAAACAAAGCATTCGATTTGTGTAAGCGCTGTGATACTGTACGAGTACCCGAACCGAAGCAGATAGTTTCCTCAGGGAGCCAAACCCTGAGCATTTTACTTACAGGTCTAATACATAAGGTAGTGGAGAAACGTTAGGAGATTCAGTCCCATGATAACCGGTGGCCAACAATAGGTTCATACACTATTTGTTTCCTCAGGATCCTGGAGCACATGTCCACCATTTGTTTGGAATCAGGGTTTTCAAAATCTCTGAGTAGATCCTCCGTGCCAACCAACCCAGTTAAAATGCCAGAAATTTCAATTTCCATCCTCCTAATTTCATAAACAACATCCACTCCATGAGAAAGCAGTAAATTGAACTTCCTTGACAGTGGTTGTATACACGTGTTCATGTGAGACAGTTTCGAGAGCGAAGGCTGACTTTCCCCACCCTCAACAGTACCAAGGAGTTTGGGGGTAAATCATGGTTAACTTAGTGCATGTATTGAAGTTTTTTAATCAACTCAAACGAATAATGTGGATTAACTGATAGCTTAAGTTGTTATCTAACAAGTAATTTCTATTGTTGGACTTAGCTTTCCATCTCCGCTTATAATCCTTCCTTGTAATTATTAAAACATTAGTTATTAAACACTACATAAAATACATATTGAACGGAAATAGTAAATGTAGAAAAATTCTGAATAACTTACAATATCACTTAGATTTGTAATGAAGTTCAAGAATTTATCTTCCATCTGCATAAGGAATTCAACATCTTTATTTTTTATTTCAATTTCATTTGACGATTGAATTGTTTTATCAAGTTTCTAAAAGATAGTAGACAAAAAGACATAAGGAAATTTGTGTAATTACCTCTCATTATGTATTTCTAGTAAATTTACAGTGAATACCAATGTTACACCACAGTTATACCGATGTTACTGAAAATACTAAATGATTATTTTGGTACATTTTCAAACCCTTATGACTTTGTTTTTATAAGCTTATGATTTGAAGTAATTATTTTGATCAACTTACAATGATCAAGTCTATTATTCTAATATAAATTATTAAAATTATATGACATGATTATGTAACTTAATAGGAGTAACAACAACATTTCACTGATTCTTTCTGTTCGATTACCGTATCAGGAACAAATGAATTTTCATAAATAGAAAAGAAATATGATTTACGATTGTGGGTAAAATAAGTTTTTGCATCGTTTGTAAACGTTGAAATGACAAGCATGTAATTTAGACTAAATACAATTATGAAATAAATAGTCGGATTAAATGAAGATAATGAAAGAGATAATTAACTAATTATCAATTATATCATATTAGCCATCAAAGAGAATTATCTAAGTGGTTATAAAGGATAGGGCTCATGTTAAGTAAGTGTAGAAAGAAAAATAAGTAAATTAGTAGATTGAAATTATGGAAATATAGAATGAAGTGAAATATATATTCAGTGATTTAGAATACCCTGTAATAATGAATAAGGTCTAAAGCTAGTCAGAATAAGAAAAGAGTTTAATGTAATGTTGGTTTTATTAAAAAATGTCTCTCATTATAATCAAGGTTCTATATCATAAAAGTTCAGGCTAGTAAAACTAGAACCTTCAATTAACTTAAAGTAATATACTAATAAGTTAGTAGTCATTATAGAGATTACAGTAATAAATGAATAGGATTTCTAGTTTTAAGTAGAGAAACATTTAAATATTGATTAGTATTAAATTTACTTGTTGAACCTGTTTAATTTCAGCTTCTTTTTGACCAAGTAAAATTTCCATTTTTTGACGTATTTCATTTAATTGTTGATGAAAATAGCGTAAAATCATTTCACGTTCTTCTGTAAGATTTGTGTCAAACTTTTCAATTTCTTTACTATATGCATTTTGAGTGCTCTGAATAAATGAACAAAGAGAAAATATCGATTTTGATGGGTTAATGATTTCTTTTTTAGTATCATTGAATAAAAGTGAATTTTGAGTTTATACTTTATCTGTAAAGTAGTTGTCATTAAGGGAGAACTCAGTGATGTTGTAACTTCATGTTCAATCTTAGTATAGATTGTTTGAGTCTGGTTGTACGTGATTCGATCGATAAAATAGTAGGGTAAACGTTATTAATAATACACTTTAATGCTATAAATGATTGTTGAAATTCTTTAAAAGTGATAACGACAGAAACATCTCATTCAGATATCGAAACTTAGCCACGTTGGTAGTTTATGTGTAAGTTTAGGATGAAAAATGTTTTAGTAAATTCATTCTCAAGTTCTGTAAATCAGCAGTGAGTCAAATATTTAAAAAAGAATCAATATTAACAATGGTCATTGTCGCGTCAACACAAACAAGATACACAACACGGCTGGAATCCATTAGTTACGGTTCCCCATTGGAAATCTAGGAATTCACGCTAGGAGCTAGACACTAGCAACCACGTAATAACTATCAGTATGGAGTTGTGGAGATTGTTATTAGTTACTGAGATCACGAATTTAAAACCTGGAAGCACCGGATGCTTGTTTCACCTCATTATAGACTTGTCAGAGACGCATATCCGGATGGTTCAAACGAACCAGCAACCAAATCAGGTCAAATATCACTTTAAAATTTATCTCAAGATCAGCAATTATTGACCGCGATGGATGCCACTGAAATGCGTTAAGTAAAATTTGTCCAATCCATTGTGATTAGTGTTTTAGTAGAACTTCACTAGTGATTAACAATATTCATCAAGCTAAAACAATATGACAAGGATTTAATTTTTTCTAATTGGCAATTTTTATACATTGACAGATGAACTAAGACGTCTATAAACAACTAAACAAAACTAATACTTACAAATAAAAAATACCAATGCTTCCAGATATTCTGTAAATGAGCAAGTAATGAAGAATTATGTAATATACTTTTGACGCATTGTGGTGTGTGCTACCTATATTGACATGAGTAGTATATGGTGTTAGTCGTGAACAGAAGGTCTGGCAGGAGAGAGACAAGAGGATCGAACAGTAAAGAATGGAAACAGGATGCAATTTGTATGAAAATGCAAGAGCAATGAGGTCTGAGTCATTTTGAGACAATTGCTGGATATTTCGCAAATTAAGCATTTACTTTATGATTGTTAGATTTTATTAAAAGTCCTGTAATTTTGTGTTAAGTACATTTGATTGTCCCCACTGGTGTTCTTGTTCAGTACAATATAACATTTGTAGTTTCATATAGGTACATCAGATGACTTACAATTTGAGTACTTTGACAGCCATTCAGGATTTAGGTTTTCTCAAAATTTAGTTGCAATAACAAGTAAATCCAATTCGACCTATAATCAGTTGAGACTGGTAAACAACAAAAAATTTATCAGGATTCAAATTTGAGTTTTGCAATTATTCTACATGTCGATAAATATTAAACTTCAGTATGTAACTTTTGACGTTATATTTTGTAAGTAAATCATATAATTGATATATCATATTTGGCTCTTATATTATTTTGTTGATAAACTTCAATCAACACTGAAATCTATGAAAAAATATTAGTTGACGTTTAAGACATATCGAAAATCCTTCAATTTCTATGATTAACAAGAATGAATTAACTTAAGGTATAAACCATTTTACGTTTTCAGTCAGTCAGTGAGTCAGTAACAACGTAGAACTTCGTATGTACGTACATCAGTTCGAGTTGCCATACCATATTAGCACAGAGATGCAGCTATTGATTCAAATCACATAGTGGTAGAGGTAGTAAGAGTATAAGCAGTAATCGGAAACATTAGGGTTTGAAGATGTTATTCAAGGAGTATAATCCAGTGAAATATATTTGGAAAGCGAAAAAAGGGACATGAAGAATTCAGAAGATTAGAATTTACGAGAACACAAAGAGTGATTTTACGTTTTAGAAAATTAACAGTATGAAATGTAAACATTTTCTTATGTAAAATGATAAAATACAACTTACTCAGTTAAATGTAATTCCAAATTCATTGAACGAATTCCAGCCAGTACACCCGGATCATCATAAGTGTTCATTTCTAATGCTTCATGTAGTGATTGTGTTAGATGGTCAAGGTTGATTAGTCCATGTTTCGGAAATCCTAAATACTTTTTGCATAGTTTTCAAGACGAAAAAAAATTAAAAACAAAATTGTTTATGGTACTTTTGGGCTACTTGTGACAGAGCATTTTGGATAGGCTCAAATAAGTAAGGTTTAAAAAAAGGAATAAATACAGATGTCCAATCTAATTCGACTTCATTCTAACTAATAGAAATTACTTCTAGGTTTAGTATATCATCTGAACATACTATTTTAAAAACCATACTAAAAATGTGATCCATTAAGATCATAATTAACTTTCTATGATTGTATCAACTACAGAAAATGCTTTGTAATCCCTCTTACTAAGATATATTTTGTCTGAATCGAAGGTTGATTTATTCATTTTTCTCTACAGTCTCGTAGATAAGAACATGATTTCGTAACATAATTTACTGAGTAAATTTCGATTTTACTCAGTCATTTAATGTTATGAAACTTTTATCAGAACCAATCTTATTCTGGCCCTATCCCTTAGTCATTTTGAATAATCAGACTAAAACCGCCTGTAAGTATTAACGGGAGATATCTGTTTTCACTTTAATCGCTGTTTTAGTGTTATTCAGACAGTTTCGCATCCTGAGATTGATACGCAGTGCTTCAATCCAACTTCTATTGACTGGATAGTTATTCATTTGGTCAGTTATTCGTAGCCCTAATAACCTTGGATGGAGTATAGAATGAACACAGGTATGAGGTCCTTAGAATGAAGAATCTCAGAAATTATTGAATTACACTGCTTAAAAATTTTGAAAATTACAAGGTAAATAAGCGAACAATTTTCTTTTTAATTAGATCTTCACCAGGATTAACTTTAATATATAGGGATACTTCTTCATCATTCATTTTTCAAATATACGCTTCACTTTACGATTATCTGAACACTTTGTATTATGTAGTTTTATGATTTTCAATGGATGGTATTTCCATATGTATATAATCGTGTGAACGTCTAATACTGTCGGTGATATCTGTCTCACTACCGACATGTTTGAGTCCCACTAGATTTCTTAGCTGTGGAGTATCAGCTAGTATAAATTCTGGGTTCAAGAGTTCGCAACGATCCCTTCTGATCACCTTAAATTAAGACATAGGTGACTAATTGTTAAGTGATTTAGACTGGTGGTCATATTATTGTTTGATTAGCGTTAATCAATCAGTATCAAAGACTAAGTAAACATGACATTTATTACCACCAAGTCTACTGGCTTTAACCACGTAATGGCAAAACTAACCAGATATTCGAGAATCTATCTCAAAGCTAGTCAGTCGTAAACGTGTTTTTTTGCTTAGTTAGTATATGAACATAGCCTGTTCTACCGTTCACTATTATTAACATGTAACTCGTTCTCGTCCAATTTATTAATGGTATTTCCGACCATTGACTGTCAGTTAAATGTCTCAATCACGGATAAATCTTATATAGTTTACATTCATCTTACTGGAAACGAACTGTTAGTTTGAAAAATCCATACAAGTTCTAATATAATACAGATGGTATATCAGGTTAATTCTTTTCTTGTTTTGATGTAAACTCGCATATTGACATACTGTACGAAACAAGAATTATATGATTTTCATATTTTATGTCCGGTTCATGTAATGATTATTGAACTAATGTTTCAAGTGAAAATCCGTTAGATAATAGTTATGATACTTCTAGTTAATCACTTGGAACCAGTAATGCTTCGAATGCAAAATACTTGAAGTAGCACTTACTTTGAGTAGATTTTCAACATCTGGAACTCCAAGCTTGTTCCAACAATTTCAATATCTTCAGCGTTGGCAAAACTTTATTACATTTTCGAAAGAAAATTTGGTAAGATTTCTTTATGTAATAAGGCAGTTGGATATTGAAAATAACCATTAAAATTATATGAAATCTACCATAATTTATACAACACAGTTGAATCTCTTTAAAATCTCTGAATTTGAGTTCTAACACTTCTTAGTTTGTATGTTTGGGGACTCATGAATATAGGTGACATGGTCAGAGAAAATAAGAATGCACAGTGTAATCATCTTTTATATCTCCTATGGCGATCTCAACTAATTCGATGAAATTCATAGAATGAAGAAGTTGACTGAAATGAAAATTAACTCACAAGAATGGATTTAGAATGATAGAACCATTATTTGACTGGTTAACTAGGGGTATATATATTCGAAAAATGAAATAGTTATTTGAATACAAGATCTTTAAGCAGAAATATTATGTCTTTTAGATAACAAATCAACTAATCAATGAATAATAGAAGATAAAGATCAGTCAGTCAGTCAGCTACAAGGTAGGACCAGGCCCATATGTGGTCACAAGGAAATCATTAATTATTAATTCCTGCTTTTTTCAACAAAAATTCTTTCAGATTGTTTTTTTTGTTTTGTTTATTAGGTTCTATGACTGTCTGACTTTCAGTTCAGGTTATAATAAATTTGTTCTACTCAAACTGCTTATACAAAGTCCTTATTTAATCGACAATTTGACCATTCTCATATAATTCCTGATAGTTCGTATCTATAAAAATTCACATCAAAAGTCATATGAGGAAAAAAGTGTAACTAACAGAAATACAAGTGAGGAAATATTTCTAAACATTTAACTTACATACCCGGAACGCTTTAAATCTATTGCTGAGAAAAATACTGGTCTGCAAGGGTCTAAATTTTTTAGATCAATTCTTTGACTTTCATTGTATTTCTCACATTCTTTTTGTCCCGTATTAATTGAACGATTAACTCCTTTATCTGAGGTTAAACTCAAATCTGGTGGATCATTATGTTTACCTGTAATCTATCGTAGAAAAATGCGATAATCAAGTTAGTTGCTAGCAATACAATCATTATGTTTTTAAAACTGAATGAAGTTGAACAGTCTTAAGTATTGATTTATGAGTGTGAAGACGACTGGTGAAGGGGTCATTGTGAGAGCTGAATCTCATGAGATCATTCTCATGTATAGAAGAGAGTGCATACTGCTTCAGATATCCAAACAAGGACCAAATAAGTATATTTTGGTTTTTAGTCTAAAACGTTTCTTTAACATCATGACGGTAAATGCCTAAAGAAGAACCACAATTTTAAAGGGACCGATTTAATGGTTCAACAAAAGAACACTAATCTCCTTAGGATAAAGTTACAAACTAGTGTTATAATAAGCCTGGAACACTTGACAGAAAATTTCGTTAGTTAATTTGGTTTATTAGTTGGTAGTTTTCACGAGAATTCGAATGAAAACGAAAGGCTATATACTGTGGACATAATTCGCTAACTCCAAGAAGACACTCATCCTTAAGTAAGTGAAACCTAAATACTAATTAAACATCGGGTGATAAAGTCTTTACCTACTACTCAATAGAAAAGCGAAGAATTACGGTCAAAACATAAAGATCTTCCATTGTCATTTATCTAGTTCAATTTTTCGACAAAGACTATGATCATCGAAATACTAGTGATAACATCAAATGGTGTCTGAGTAGCTGTACTGAATATCTAGCTTAAGTTTTTGAATTTGGATTGAAAGAATGATTTGGGAAATGTACCGTATCAAATGTGATGAATCCTAAGAAATCTTGATTACTATTTATAACCTTTATGTAATATTTTGATAGAAGTGCAATGCATGTTCAAGGATAGAAGTAACGTACCAAATTCCTTAGTTGTATGATGACAATGAGATTCGAAATCTAGGTAATTGTAATGGATTTTCACTTGTTGTTTCATTTTGATTGAGCGTTATTCAACTTGATGGTTTTCAGGTTTGAGAGAGGATATACCTCAATGTATATCAATGCAGTAAAAATTCCTATCTTGTATACTGAGTAGAAAATTATCTTTGTTCAGTTATGCGTTAGCAGATGAAAGTCCAAAAGAAGTTAAGGCTTACAATTGGTTGAACACTGGGTGGTGATCAATGTCACGTATGTCAGATTCTTCTTGGCGCAGATCGAATCCTATCGACCGAGTTGCAATGTGGCCATCAGTCTAGGTGACCCGACATTGCGTGCACTATGTTGAGATAAGATGGTGGTTGGAGATAGTCAACAGGAGACCCTGGACCTAGACTGGTGGCCACATTGCAACTTGGTTGATAGGATTCGATCAGCACTAAGAACGACCTGGCATACATGACACTGATCAGCACCCAGTGATCAGTAAATTGTAAGTATATCTCAGTCCTACATGGGGTCTATCGCCACTCGGATAAACCAGTGGTAACGTCTCTAACGCGGGATCGGATTCGTCAGGGAGCATTGGTTACCTCAAGATTACAGGTAGACCTTGCTGACGGGTGCCAATTAGCACGAAACCTAGGTCCAGGAGTTTTCCTGTTGACTACCTCCAACCACCATCTTACAGTTAAGGCTTTACTACTGGTTAATGAATGGTAAATGCCGAGAATTTGCTGATTTTGCGATGTGTTCATTAGATGCCGTGAAATACTGAACTTGCAGTGAATTCAATTACCCTTTTTCCTAACCTTGCTAAAAAGTGCTTCCAAAGGTGACGATGAGCTTATAGAAAAATAGTAATATAAGTTTAATGATAATAACAGTAACTAGAAAGTCATACCGGTTAACGCTAAAAGCAGATACATTCTTAAGGCAATAAAGAAAAACTGAAGCCGTAAACAGTCTTAACTATTTGACCTAAAGTATCATCTGATGATTGATAAGCTTGGAACTGAGTAAACGAAGCCGTTTGCAAGAATCAATCAAGCACTATTGATTTTTCTCTAGCATGTAGAAACTATCCATTTCATCTACATGAATATAGTTTATTCCGTTCATGTTGACATTCTTGATGATATTTTTGAAATTTTAATTAAAGGGAGAGATAAGGTATTTGATATTATCTCCCTGAACAGTTGGAAACTGTACAACACGACAGATATCTATGGTTTCCATAAAATGTTCATTTTTGCATGATATTACATAAGAGTGAAGAGCTTATCTTTATTTAAATCAAATGAAATTATTGACGAACTTAATAAAACGAGTACTTTTACAAGTGATGACCCATTTCTTAATATTTTTTAGAGTAGAATAAATGCGAAACTCAATGTCCCAGTGATTTATTTACTTTGCCAATGACAATGTTGAAAATTAGTTTGTTGTCACATCAGATTTACAGGTGTATATACTACTGAACATGTATTTAATAATCAATAAACAGAAATCAATTACTTTAGGTGGTAAGGCTTAAGTTGTTCACCTTCAGATCTTGTAATAACACCCTTTCGTCCTAGTTTCAGATTAGTATCAGGTTGGGGTATATTGGATGGAACCAAATAGTTTGTATTAGATTGACCTGGAATCAATTAATAGAATTACTTAATATTATGAAAACAGTTAATCATAAAGTATTACTATACTAAAACTACTAATATTTGATGTACAATTATGTTCATGACTTCGATCAAAACCCAACAATCTCCAAAACCCCATAATGATATGCTAATAATGATGGTTTGTGAAATGAGTCTACGTTAGCAATCCCAGTGGTTCATATAAATGTGGATGATGAAGATGCAGTTAAAGCTATGGTATCTTGGCTTCTTGTAGTAAGTACTAGTTTTCGTCAATTATAACAGATACTATGAGACTTATCAAGACCACTGCTACTACAACTCTTAAAATGATTCTAGAAGTCAGTTTTCATCTAGTTGCAAGCAGTTTATCGGTGACCCACAGTCATGTTTAATTATTGAATTAATTTCTGAGTTGAGCTCGAGAACTTGAAGATAACGTCGAATTATCAGAGTACTGGTAAGTTCTCATTCAAGAAGCTATGATAAGTGATATTATTCTACTTACTAATTATAAGTAGGATGACAAATAATTGAAAAAAATATTTGGGTATTATATCAGTTATATGCATTATTTTTTTGTGATTTGACAGCCATTTTCATTCTAGTTTTCTGTTTACCGATAAAAACTTACTGACTTCTGGTTTGCTGACTTGGGTTTCATTTTCCGGTTTATCCTTTAAAGTTTTCTTAACTGGGACCTCTGACGCTGATTCAGTTACAATATTATTCGACTTGTTCTGAGACTCGGAAACCTTATCATCTTTTGACTTAGTTGTTTGGACATTACCGTTATCCTTATTCAGTACTTCTTGCGTTTTAGTATTTGGTGCAGGTTGTGAACTAGAAGTAATCTCTTTCTTCTGTCCAACATTAATATTTGGTTGGCTTTCGACCTTTTTAGATTGAACTTCATTTGTCTCATTCTTTGAGTTTTTATTTTGTTTTTCTTTGAGGTCAGAGGATTTTTTATCAGTTTCCAGATCTTTCACTTCATCCACCGGTTTTGTTTTAGGTGGAGTTGTTGGACTTGGAGCTCTGTTTGATTTGATTGTTTGTACAGGTGATGTTAAAAAGTTAATCAGTGTAGATGATGGATTCTTTTCATTAATTTGATTTGTTGGTCCTTGATTTACTCTGTCTATTAGACGTACAGTACTCGGTGGCTTATCTTGTGGTGCTTCTACACTGTCGTCTGCTTTATTTGTAAATTTATTGGTTGCATCAGCTGGTGAAGTTTGTTTTTCTGTCTTCTTCTCATCTCCTTTTATAACTTCTCTCGATTTATCACTAGCATTGTTCGTTTTTTCGATTGTATCTTTTGTATTCTTTCCTGTGTTTGATTCCTCCGATTTTTGTGAAGGTGGTAGTGATTTAGTTTCTTTTTGTTAGTTTGTTGATCCTTATTCACTTCATTAGATTCCAAAGGTTTCAAGTTAACTGGTGACGTTCTGCCCGAAATATCATTCTTGCCACGCGATTTACCAAGTCCCTGAAGAAGAAGCAATTACTAGTGGTTATTAATAGCGAACTGTATTCGACATAAATGATAAGCAGTAGTTCACATCAGTTCTTACTTTCTAATTCTGATAAATATTCAGTGATCAGATCCTTAAATTTCGACATTTCTGAAATGTAGATCTTCTGATTGATTGTGTAAATTTAACAAAACACTTATCATATTTCGTTTAATTTACCTTCACAATCTCGTAACAATATGAATATTATTGCCATAGAACGTGACGTTTACTCGAGGAAATAAAAGAATTATGTGTACATGACCCTACTATTTTTTTCTAGCTATACAGTAACTATTAAAATATTTAGTGATATTCTCATGTAGCTAACCGTGGAATTCCTACTTTTCTTTTGTTATTTGTGAATTCTATACATTGATATTATGCTTAAAAGTCATTAAAATATATCCTAATCAGTAGTTCACACATTATTCTTCAATAAGAGTGTAGTTCGATAAATTCCATGGTTTTCATTGCAGAATAAAGTTTGTCTACCAATTAGTTAACTCACTTTATTACATTAGATATAAGATTTTTCATTCACACGACTAAAACCATACCAAATTCGAATGATCCTATGTTATTTTTCACAGTTCTTTCTGGTTGAAACAAGTTTCAACAATACGCATACAAATAGCTTGCATTAAACTGGTCATTTTATCTTCAACAGAGTGAATCTCATTTATGGATGACGATGATGATTCAACTTTGCCCAAAACAATCTTATTTATTATTTTATTTATTTAAACGCATACACCGGTACAACGGGCACCAAATACATATACGACGCACAATAACAATAAAGCCATTAGTAGCTACCAGTGATTTGTGTTAGGCCTGTAATACTGACCGGGTGCTCAAACCGAAGCAGGTAGTTTTCTGAGGGGGACACACACCGAGCCTTTGACCTATAGGTCTAATACATAAGGCATTGGAGCAACGTTGGGAGATGCAGTTCCATGATAGCCGGTGACCAACAATAGGTTCATGTGCCTTTTCTTTTCTTAGGATCCTGGAGCCCATATGCGACGTTCGTTTAGAATTAAGGTTTTTCGACTCCCTTGAGTAGCCACTGTAACCACCAACCCGGTTAAAGTAACGGACATTCACTTTTCATCTTCTGAATTTCGTAAACAACACTCCCACCGTGAGGACTTCGTTGACAGTGGTTGTATACACGTGGCCATGTGAAAGCGTTTCGCGAGGAAGAGCTGACTCTCCCTACCCTTGACCTTACCAGGGCATACTACTCTGCAATCCTAGCTTGTAACTCACATGTCTCAATGAAGGTGAAGTAAAACAAAAGTACAGTTTAGTACTGGTTATCTCAATAGTATGAACAATTACTAATTCTATTTATATAAACAATCATTTTTGTGTTAAAGTTTAAAATTTTGATAACGAATTTGATTGATCATAAGTTATATATTCTACAGATAATACACATGATCCCCATCTCAATAACTGAGCATAAAAATATGTTTAGGAATAGAAACTATTTAATTTTTATTCAAAGTGGTCTGTTCAATTAATAAAGTGAAAATATTACTAGAATAAATTAATTTTTGTAGTTTTCAGAGTTGTAAATTAATAAGCAAAACAACACTAATCATGCTGGCTAAAGAAGTATCCTAAACGGACTCAAAATTACTCCAAATTTCGAAGCCTAATCCAACGTACATACTTACCGAATTCTTTTGTAGTGGCCTAGATTCATTAATCAATCACCTTGATAACCGTTATTATATAAATCTCAACGGTGTTTGAATTCAAAAGGCAATAAGAAGCGGCGACTACAATTTATTAGCGGACAACACAGATCATGAAGTTATAAGCGCATCGAGCGAATTTGAAGCAGTGAGGCGAATATATGTGTGCGAGAGAACACAGAAGCAAATTTCTAGTCATATAGAATCAAGGTGCAGCTATACAAGGCAAAGGCTAACAATAGGATTCGAGTATATACATACATGGGAAAGAGGTGGCTCATCGATCGATATTCAAGCGACGACCATTTTAGCTAGAGTGAGATATGTCCGTAGGCTGTCATGTGATCAAGCATACACGTTTATACACATAGGATAGTAATCATAATAGTACAAAGAAATATGTTAATTGTTACTGTTCAAATAAGACTGTCTGTTAAGTTACAAAAAGGGCTTAAGACATTAATTATAATCTGAATTGATTGTAAAACAGTTGCTATAGTTTTATCCCACTTATTAACAGAAGATGGAACCAGTTAGAATATACTTGAATGTCTTTCCCCATTTAGTGTAAAAGAAAGATATGAAGTATCATGTTAGTAATCGTTGAAACGATGAGAACTACCAAAAAATTCTTCAAATTTAAAATCATTTTACCCTGTTCAAAATACTACTGTAGTGAACAGAACACGGGTGGGGACAATCAAATGTACTTAACACAAAATTACAGGACTTGTTAATAAAATCTAACAATCATAAAGTAAATGCTTAATTTGCGAAATATCCAGCAATTGTCTCAAAATGACTCAGACCTCATTGCTCTTGCATTTTCATACAAATTGCATCCTGTTTCCATTCTTTACTGTTCGATCCTCTTGTCTCTCTCCTGCCAGACCTTCTGTTCACGACTAACACCATATACTACTTATGTCAATATAAGTAGCACACACCACACTACTTAAATGATTGTAACTATTTTTTATAAGCATTTAGAATTGAAATAAATCATTGTAATTTAGTAACGAACTATTATCAAATAAAACTGAGCTTGTGGAAAAACACTAATGAAGAGTCGATTATATAAAAAGTACTTATCTTATTAAGATTAAATATCTTAATAAATAACTGTTCTTTAGCTTAAAGTAAACATACTCTTCATAATGAATAAAATGAACAAGCATTTGGTTAGTCTTTAAGAAGAATATTATCCAAAAGTTCTTTACATTTTGATAGAGTTTTTTTCTTTGAGCTGGATGGTTTGGTCAGCTCAGAGAACAAAACTCCGTCCAAATCATCCATATGAGATACAAATATTCTTTACATTACTTATACACATTATAAATTGTCTTTCACGAATTATTAGGAATAGATAAGAAAATTGTTGTGACTTTATGTCCGGCTTTTTATCACGTGATTTATCCACCAATCAAAATACGACTTATACAATCTTAGCACTGTGCCAAACCAATGACGTTCGACCGGTATGAGCAGCCTAGCGTCCTTATTGGTCCTATATCCGCCTAGCCCGTCCACTTGAGTCCAGAACACTAATACCAGCTTCCACTATGCGAATCGAATCGAATCATTTATCTCAGACATACTGGGTTTATATATCAAACAAACAGAAGGCAAAGCACCATAAAATAGGAAATAACATTTGTATACAATAGAGCCCAAAAGTGGCTGTGAACGTGAGAGGCAGTAGTCAATAAACTGAACATAGCTTAAGAACAGTAAATCGTACAATAATAAATTATAGGTCAAAATAAAGCTTATAATAAGAGGAATATACATAATCTGATTATTGAATAGTTATACCATATAGATAATATTAGTCAATTAATATGTCTCAGAAGTTACTCGTGATTTAATTTTCGCTTGGATATAACAAAAATAAGAAAAGCATTTTAATAAAATACAGTTAAAAGTTTAACTCACTTCGAAAAAGTTTTTCATGTGTATCTATTAACTAAATATTTCATTCGTTTGAAGATATTCCAAAATGTACTATTATTTATAATTATTTATTGTATAAATATGTATTCCTTTACGGGGATTTATAATCAATCAATTAAACAACAAGAAATTAACCAATTAGTTTAAGCAATATAAAGTTCAATCCAAATTTATTGATTATACGAGGAAAAACATTGAGTAGGATTATTGAAGACTTCTACTCATTCCATTAATAACATAAATTAATATCGTAAAATCAATGATTTATAGATTGATAAAAGACTACAACACATTCAAATAAATGGTGAATGATATACACACATTGCTGATTAATCTCATTCACAAAAAAAATACTTGATAGACTACCGGTTTTCCTAAATGTAATAAGTATTAGACTTGGAGATAAGCTTCATTATAGACTGAAAAAAAGTAAACTAATTTGAAAACAAAGAGAAATGGATAATTGATTCATTTTCATTTGAAATTTCACTACATTGAGCACTCAGCATCTACACTGGATCGAAGACAGCAAACTCAGATCTTAAATTGAGTATTGTACCATTTTATTATCTCCTGGACAATTAATAGTTCTTATTTCCCGGCATCAGTCAGATTTTGCAGTATATATTTAGGTTGTAGAGGTTAATTTCCTCTATACCTGACTCCAATAAATAGTATCTTATTAACTAGGTGTTTAACGCAGGCTAAATCTCCTAGTAGAATTATGAATTTACTCGAGATTATTCAAAAACCCGAACACCAGTTATAGTTTATTGTTAAGGATTAGTAAAACTCTCAAGCCTACACGAAGCAAGCACACAGGGAAACCAAGTGAGTATGTGTTTGTGTGTGTGTGTTAAAAATCCATATATATTTATGAGTGTTAATCAAGTATGGATAAATTATTGATTGTCTGTGTATTACAACCAATGAGAGAATAGATTAAAGATTGATGTGCAGATACGTGCTCAATCAGACCCACACATTTTACATAATGGATTAGGTGTCTAAATTATAGTGAGCAGACAAATAATACAGTAGTTGAGTGGGCTCACTACAAGGCTTTAGGACAAGTTCAAAGTCAAAAGATACGTCATTGATCAGTTCATTATTCTTAATTATCCTAATAGCAACATCCAAATGTAATATGGCTGTCACGTAACGTACTGTAGACGAGGTCTGAAGCACTACATTCATAACCGTATAAAAGTTAGGTAGTGTATTACTGAAAAATTTTTGCCCGTTAACACTTTTAGATATTTTTAAATTAACCAAACTTTGAAATTCGGCAAATGCAATTCCCCATATGAACCATATACAAATCTCTATAGATATGTTGCTCAAAAACTCGGATATATTAACTATTTTATTCTAGTTTTCAGACCACGTGTATCAAGAGATATACCACAACAACAGTAATAATAGTCATAAGTAGAGTCACTTTAAAAATCGCATTAAATTTCTTAAAGTTTTTATCTTAAACAGATTAAGGTTTTAAAGCTCTATTATTGTGATAATGTCGAACCATTACTAAAGACTAACAAGATAATATTTTATTTAAACCATTTTGTATGTTGTACAATGAAAAACAAGTTCTCTTTTCGCACCACTAGTTTACAGAAACACAATAATAATACCGATTGAATTAATCAAGTGTTTTATTCATTTAAAAGTGCAATTATCTCGTCTGTCAGACTTCGACTAATTAGATGGTGAATCACGTATCTTGTTTGATTGGATCAAATGATTTATTCTACTTAATCTTGTCTATCTTATCATAACAGTTGAATTATACGCTGGAAAGTGTGAGAAGTGAACAGTCGTGGTAGAATCTAGTGAGATGATCAGGTAAACTTAGGAATTTTACGACGAATGGTGTGCAATTTTTTAACTCCGCCTGTAGCTCTTATAGGGTTACTGCCGGTCCCAAGCCCGGATAAAGGAGGAGGGTTGGGAATGGGGTTAGCGTCCCCATCCCGTAGAAAACTAACTCGCTAAAAAAACGCTTACCAGAAAAAATAATCCAAACCATTTAAACTCTGCCCTGGGAGTTAGAAGGTCTTCAGTTAGAAGAATTATGACGCTTCATGGTGAAAGCCGAGTTCCTTCGGAAGCCACGAGGCCGATGCCCCTTCTAACAACCAGAGCAAAAATTTTTATAGATACATGGAACGTTCGAACAATGTGAGAAACCGGGAAGACCAGTCAAATAGCAATGGAAATGAGGAGATACAACCTAGCAGTACTGGGAATCAGCGAAACCCACTGGACCCAAGCTGAACAGAAAAGGCTAGCTACGGGAGAGATGCTGCTATACTCCGGTCACGAAGAGGACAATGCTCCACACACTCAGGGAGTCACTCTTATGCTGTTCAAAGTAGCACGAAATGCACTTGTAGGATGGGAATCTCACGGATCCAGAATCATCAAAGCATCATTCAAAACAAAGAAGGAGGGGATCTTAATGAATATTATCCAATGTTATGCACCCACCAATGATAGCAACGACGACATCAAAGATCAGTTCTACGAGCGGCTGCAGTCAATCATTGAGAAATGCCCAAGGAAGGACCTAACTATTCTGATGAGAGATCTAAATGCCAAAGTCGGAATAGACAACACTGGATATGAAGATATCATGGGACGACATGAACTGGGATAAAGAAACGAAAATGGAGAAAGATTTGCAAATCTATGTGCATTCAACAAATTAGTCATAGGAAGCACAATATTTCCACACAAGCGTATACACAAGGCTACATGGATCTCACCGGACCACACTACAGAGAACCAAATCGATCATATTTGCATCAACAAAAAATTCCGAAGGACAATGGAAGATGTGAGAACCAGGAGAGGTGCTGACGTAGCTTCAGATCACCACCTAGTTGTAGCCAATTTAAAACTGAAGCTGAAAAAGAACTGGACAAGTGGACAAACAGCACTACAAAGGTTCAATACAGCCTTCCTTCGAGATACTGACAAGCTCAATGAATTCAAGATAGCTCTCAACAACAGGTTCCAAGCCTTACAAGATCTACTGAATGAAGAAGGAACTAATATGGAGGACAACTGGAAAGGCATCAAGGAAGCATTAACTTCAACGTGTCAAGAGGTTCTGGGTCTAAAGAAGAGCCGACAAGAAGAAATACGTGGAAGAACTAGCAACGACGGCAGAAAAAGCTGCTAGAGAAGGAAATATGAAACAGCTTCACGATACAACGAAGAAACCAGCAGGGAAATACAGTAAACCAGAGAGGCCGGTCAAAGACAAAGAAGGCAAGCCAATCACCGAAATTCAACAACAGCGTAACAGATGGGTAGAATACTTCGAGGAACTCCTGAATAGGCCGGCTCCAATGAATCCACCGGACATCGAAGCAGCACACATAGATCTTCCTATAGATGTCAACCCACCAACGACGGAAGAAATTAGAATGGCCGTCAGACAAATCAAGAACGGGAAAGCAGCAGGACCCGACAACATACCAGCTGAAGCACTGAAATCAGACATCGAAGCAACCACAAGCATGCTTTGCCTTCTATTCAAAAAGATTTGGGAGGAGGAACAAGTGCCGATGGACTGGAAAGAAGGACACCTCGTCAAGATTCCAAAGAAAGGAGATCTGAGCAAATGTGAAAACTACAGAGGCATTACACTACTGTCAATACCAGGGAAAGTCTTCAACAGAGTGTTGCTGAACCGGATGAAGGATGCAGTAGACGCCCAACTTCGAGATCAACAAGCTGGATTCCGTAAGGATCGGTCGTGCACAGACCAAATTGCAACACTACGGATCATCGTCGAACAATCAGTTGAGTGGAACTCATCACTATACATCAACTTCATTGATTATGAAAAGGCATTCGACAGTGTAGATAGGAGGACATTATGGAAACTTCTTCGACACTACGGAGTTCCTGAGAAGATTGTCAACATTATCCGGAACTCATACGACGGACTACAGTGCAAAGTAGTGCATGGAGGACAGCTGACAGATGCATTCCAAGTAAGGACTGGAGTCAGACAAGGCTGTTTACTCTCTCCCTTCCTCTTTCTTCTGGTGGTCGACTGGATTATGAATATTTCGACATCTGAAGGAAAACACGGAATACAATGGACAGCTCAGAATCAATTAGACGATTTGGACTTCGCAGATGATCTAGCCCTCCTATCGCATACACACAAACAAATGCAGATAAAGACAGCCAGTGTAGCAGCAGCCTCTACATCAGTAGGCCTCAACATAAACAAGGGGAAAACCAAGGTCCTCAAATTCAAAGCGGAAAACAGCAATCTAATCACTCTTGATGGCGAAACTCTGGAAGATGTACAATCCTTCACATACATGGGAAGCATCATCGATGAACAAGGAGGATCGGACGCAGACGTAAAGGCGAGGATCGGCAAATCAAGGGTCGCATTCCTACAATTGAAGAACATATGGAACTCAAAACAACTTGCAACCAATATCAAAGTGAGAATCTTCAATACCAACGTCAAGGCAGTTCTACTGTATGGAGCTGAAACTTGGAGAACTACAACAACCACAATCAAGAAAGTACAAGTATTTATAAATAGCTGCCTACGCAAGATACTCAACATCCATTGGCCGGATACCATCAGCAAGAGCCTTCTGTGGGAGAGAACAAACCAACTTCCAGCTGAAGAGGAAATTAGGAAAAGACGATGGAAATGGATAGGACATACATTACGCAAATCGTCAAACTGCATCACGAGGCAAGCCCTAACTTGGAACCCTGAAGGGAAGCGAAAAAGAGGAAGGCCAAAGAACACATTGCGTCGGATAATAGAAGCAGATATGAAAACGATGAATTACAACTGGACGGAGCTGGAAAGGATTGCCCAGGACAGGGTTGGATGGAGAATGCTGGTGAGCGGCCTATGCTCCTTCACGAGGAGTAACAGGAGTAAGTAAGGTGTGCAATTTTATGTGAAATTTGCTTTGTTGTACTTAGTAGTATAGTGAATTAAATAATCAGAGCATTATAAATTTTAGATTTCAGCTTATTCCTTGTATTTTCTCCTACATCGGATCTTATCCAACCCGAATCATAAGGATGATAATATAGTGTAAGTACACTTGTCAAGTGTCGGCTGTCTCTACTCTTTTAATTCCAAATTATTATTGGTTTGGATCATAATATTATCAGAGAAACGTTAATTGCCAGCACTGAGGGTTTTCCATTGCTAGACAGTTATCTATCAAATACAATTTTGGTTCCCTTTATTAATTTCGTGAAGAAACTTGAGCTATAATGTTGGGTGAAATGGAGTTATTTCCGGTAAAACTACCATCTTATTGTAATTTTACTTCTGAAAGGCTCAAGTTCAGATTTCACTTTTTCATTTTAAGTGGTCACATGGATAAACAGAGTGGTCTTTAATATATTACAAGTGCCCAAAAATTATGGATTTTACAGTTCTAATTTCTACTTAATTACTGGATAATTCTCCTTTATTCCAGTATGACATATTCCCCCTCATTCCCAATATCTCTTAAATATAGTCGATTTCGAGAACCAGTTAGTGTCACTGGATTGCATCTTATTAGTGGTTGCACTACACCTATACCCATCGTGTAAGTATTTATTTACTTAAAAAATCTTCCATTTTTGTAGAGAAAGTTAAAAGGCTGATCTAATTGCTTCTGGTGTGTTTTATTGATTTCTAAATGCAACTCCAAACTAACATCGGCATGACTAGATTTACTTGTTCAAAGATGTAGATTATATTTGACATATGGCATAATTACTAAGATCTATCGTATTTTTCACATCATATACTTATATAGCAAATCACTACAGGTTAATCATCATATATTTATTGGTTGCACGGACGGCGCTCCAAAAATAACAGTGAGATCTATTTGTTAGAAGGTAGTTCTCAAAATATGGACTTAATAATAAATGGATAGAACTTGAAGCACAAAACGCTTTTCCATAGTCAAATCACTCGCAGAATGAAAATTCGTTCGCACATTTTAACTACTATTTTGAGTTAATATTACTTTTCGTTAAGTGAACCATTGATTTTTTCATAAATAGTGCCACTGATGACAGTCGAATGTGAGGAATGATTGATTGTTTTGTAATCTAAATGCCTGGTTATTCATTTATTTATTAATAAGTAACCAGCTCAGTCATACTATTCTGTGAATGACTAATAAGTTTGATTCTTTGAAACATTTTCATACAGTTGATCGGCTAGGTGTTCTGTTTTTTTAAAAAAATTTGAGGCTTAAATTCGTGAGAAAATTATTAATTTAACTACCTTAGCATTTTATCAAATCAAATTACCATAACAAAAGTTCAAAACATTTGGTTTAATTTTCATTAAAGACTACATCTCCACTTACGCCGAAAGTAGTATTCGTTGATATTTCACACTACTTAAATTTACTTCATTAGGCTTAATTTGATGTAGATGAACACATTTTATTGACATTAAAATATGAATGGAATTATAAACTGTTGACAATAAAACTTTCCACACACCTAGCTTTGTGAAATTAGTTTATTTAGAACTAAAATCTACATTTTTACCACCTCATGAAATCAATCAGTTTCTTTTAAACAATTTAGTGAATTCATTTAGTCGTAAAAGAAGAGGATGCATAATATTCTATGATCTTCAAAGCCATACAAACGTATTGTGAAAACTACTTACAAAGTTTTGTGTTAGAAATTTATGTCAGCGTAATATATAGATGCCGTCAGGAGTTACACCAGCTTTCCAAAAAAGGGAAGTTAATGTTGAAAAATCATAACTTCGTGGTTTTAGGATTAGATGTTCAACTAATAGGTTGCAGGTTCAAAATCCAGTTTATTCACTGGAACAGGAAGAGCATGCTTTGTAAAAATTGTACACATATTAGGAGATGAACAAGAACAGAGACTCATGGTTTGTAGTCATTCAGAACAATCCAGAAACTACTTGAAATTATTAAACTGAAAATGTCGAACTGTATTGAAATCATAAACTGATCAATGTTAGACCACCATTCAGGACGTGGGAGAACTGGACAGTCGTTTCGTCCTAGTATGAGCAGTCCATACTAGGACGAAACGACTGTCCAGTTCTCCCACGTCCTGAATGGTGGTCTAATATTGATCGGTATATGGTTTTAAAGAAATTCAACAATCTCCATAACCCCCTACTGAAAATACTGAAGCTTAAAAATAATTTTTTATCGATCGACTGTAAACTAGTTAGCGAGAAGTAGAAATGAAGACAGACGCAAGGGGGTTGTTACTGTTCGTATAACGGAAACCAAACGCAATATTACATAAGAGTTTATTATAATGTAGTCCGATTTGCGTAAACACAACTTGGTTTGCGATTTAGTTTATTTCTCAATTTTCAAACTTATCATCTTGTCTTGGACACAAAATAGAAAAGTTCCTGATAACGGTTTCTGACCTAGGTTGTAACTATGCAACTTATAACGAAAACGAGAAAAACAGGCTGTCAAATGAGATAGACTATGTTCAAATAAACACAACTACTAGGAGAATGGGGTTTATGAACTTGGTTTTTAGCGATACTTTAGGTGCGGGGGCTAGTGATACTACACGGCTACCGTAACCACAGTGAGTGCAGTTCAAATCAGCAACATGGTGATTGGAAGCTAACTGCTTTAACGACTAGACGGCTATTTCCAATATTAGTCTATTCAGTTTGATCTGACCAGTATAATAGCATTGTTAGCCCTAATGCAATAAATGTTGTTCATACTACTACTAGAAATTTCCAAGTAGTTACAGAACTGTACCTATAGTTTTTATTGACCGTGGAAATGTGACATGATATATAAACTGTTAAAGGAAAACCAAGATATTGAATTCAAAAACTATTTCGGTTACAAAAACATCTGTATAAAATATGGAAAGACTATACATATACATCACCCATACATTCCGAAGAATTAAAAAAGCATTTCAAACATTAAATCAACCAAAAGATGATAAAATTCCAGACTCTAAAAATTCTTTTGTACTTAATACAGGTTCCACTGTATAACCGGTTAAAAGGTAACCATTTGAACATGACGTATTAATTTCAGGATGCGTTCTCTCTGGTAATACTTGAATATGTCGAAACCAGCTATCGGTTAAACGAAGATGTGTTATTCCACCGCGTCGTTTTAAAACATTGTACAGATCAACAAGGGGCTAGAATGAAGTAAGGGGGAATGATTGAAGTAAAAGTTAATACTGTGTTAATGAATCGTGTAAAACATAATTTGAAATCTACTGAACTAAAATAATCAAACAGATAACAAACTCAAACATATTATTCGAGGAAATAGTCTAATAATCTGACGTTAAGTTGCCTTTTAACAACAAAGTCAACAAACGATAGGGAGTTCAAAGAAATTGTTGGTATAAGGGATTGATAGAGATTATCAGATTTTCTCACTTTATATTACAGGCTTATTAGTTGAGCAACCATCAAAAATCAAGAAGTATTAGACAGCTGTTGTGTGCTAGCATGAGGCACTTTGGTAACGCGTACCCACGATCCTACCGGAGACCAAACCTAAGACCTTTGAGTTTCGCAGCAAGTGTTTAACCTTTAGTTCATTGAATTGGCATCCAGTGGTTTACACCTCCTATTTGAGTCAACTGCCGTTATTGAGCGACTATCATTCAATGCTATTAATAGTAACCTGCCTTAGCGATCCAAACCATAAAAGCAATTAGTTGTAAGTATAACTACTTGAATTGAACCATGTATATTGTTTCTTTGGACCTAGCTGATAGAACTTTATGCAGCGAACTGGTGATTTTTAGTGATAGTGCTCATTATTTTTATATTAGCTCTTCATGGAATAACTTGGCTTGTCACCTTGAATTACTCAACATTTTTTCGTGCTATCGATGTTTTATAGCAATTAAAGATTTTGAGAATCAGCCGTAAAATGTACTAGGATAAACGGTTAGAAATCATTAACGGATCAAAATTAAAAGGCTGGGTGTTGTAGAGATGTCTATGGAATTATATACATATATTACAGCCAGATGAAAATCCAATTGAAAACATCGTTTGCCTGTTTATGAAATTGTTCAGATAACAATGATCGAACATTTTATGGGTCATAAAAGCAGAATTCATAAACTTCGAGATCTGTGATGAAAAGAAAACAATGTACTAGATTGTTATTTTCTAAATGTCTTTTGGAAGTAATTTATTTTAACTTTGGGAATAGTAGATTGTTTTATCCTTAATTCTAGAGAATTGAGAAATTGAAGCATTCTCAGTATAGGATAACGAAAGAAATCATCTCAATGATACAAACAGATACATTATTTACTTGTATATATTGTGTATAAACTACAAATGGCCGCCCGATAGGTAGAAATTGAAGTAAGGTTAAAGTTAAATCGACCGGATGAAATCGAGTAACGATGACAAGTGAATCTGGTGTAGGACGATTATTTCCAAAGATTTGGTTGAATGATGAAATGTAATATTCACTGCTTTTGGATTGTTTTGGTGAGTTTCGGTCTATTGGAAATAAAGAAACGGTTATCCATTTATTAAGAACAAAACTTTGTTGCTGGAAAGTAACGTTTGAATTTAATCATATTTGATATTGGCTAAAAATGGAAGTGAACTGTGTTCTGTTCGAGACTATCACAGTTTAGTTCGACTGGATTCTAAAAGGTTAAGCAAATTCGAACGCAATAACAACACCTTAATTCATTAAAACAATCGAAACAAACAGTCTCTTGGAGATAAGTATGCAGAAAATCCAAAAAGAATTATCGCCAACATGTATTAGTTCAGTCAGTCAGTCAGTCAGTCAGCTACAACGTAGGACCAGGCACATATATGCATCGGTCCAGGTTGCCATACCTCATTAGCACAGCAAGATGAACACTGGATTCATAGGAGTGGTTAGGTCAAAGGTGGTAATATATAGGAGAAAGATTGCAATAAGGATATAGTATAGGAAGAAAGAATTAGTTCGTAGAAAGAAAGATGTGAAGTGATTTTAATCTCTTAGTTTAAGGGAAGACAGGGAGTGTATACACCGACGCCATTGTGATCGATTCTGAGCCATGTCACCAAGAGTCTCCAACCATTGGTTACGAAAGTCACGCGGACCCCAACCAAGTAGTCTGCATCTACCAACATGGCTCAGACTAGAAGTTAGTGACTTCAGGCACTGATGCCACGTTTTGGTTTGGCCGCCCCTAACTTTCTTCCAACCATCCCCTACACCGGTTAGCATTGCACGTCGCGGTAATCGGTGTTCAGGCATACGTAATACGTGGCCCAACCATCTCAGTCGATGAAGATTCATAACCTCATCAACTGATTTACCATCATTCCCTAATACCCTGCGTCTAACCTCACTATTACTTACCCGGTGATCCCAGCAGATGCCAGCAATATTTCTAAGGCATCTGTGGTCAAATACTAGTAGCTTACGGGTGTCTTCTACTCTTAAGGCCATGTTTCGCTGCCGTAAATTAAAACAGAACGGACTGCCGCGCAGTATACTCGTCCTTTTATTGATAGACGGATATCTCGCCTCCGCCAAAGGTGACGTAAGTTGGCAAAAGCCAAACGAGCTTTTCGAATCCGTGCTGAGATTTCGTCAGACACCAACCCATTAGGGCTGATCAGACTTCCAAGATAAGTGAAGTTGTCAACGCGTTCGACTACTTCACTCCCTATCCTTAGTTCAGGTGTTGACGCAGACCAGTCCTGAAGCAACAACTTGCATTTAGAGGGAGAGAAGCGCATCCCAAACATTCTGGCATTGTTGCTTAGTGCTACCAGAAGACTCTGCATTTTGTCAGCGTCTTCACCAAACAGGACTATGTCATCTGCGTATTCTAAGTCGATAAGTGGACCTCCTGGAAGGAGATCAATACCCGAGAATTCAGTCGACGAGAGTGTTATTTCCATCAATAGGTCTATGATGAAGTTAAACAAAAATGGAGAAAGTGGACAGCCTTGACGGACACCACTTGAGGTTGCAAAAGTAGATGACAGTTCGCCATAAGCTCTGACTCGACTAGTAGTGTTCGAGTAAAGAGCCTTCACAAGGTTTATGTACTTCTGAGGTACGCCTTTCAATGACAGACACTGCCACAGAATCTCGCGGTCTACAGAGTCAAATGCTGCTTTTAAGTCAAGAAAGACCACCATCGTCGGACGCCGATAAGTATGCCTGTGTTCTAGAACCTGACGAATGGTGAATATGTGGTCGATGCAGCCACGACCAGGTCTAAAGCCAGCTTGGTTCTCTCGTGTTTGTAGTTCACGAGTCTTAGTTAGGCGTTGATAATTATCGAGGCCAGTATTTTAGATACTATTTTAGTTAAACTAATCCCTCTGTGGTTGTCACAGGATGATTTTGACCCTTTCTTATATATTGGGACGATAAGTGATTGCGACCAGTCAGATGGGATAACGTCTAACTCCCAGATTTTAGCTAAAATATTAGTCAACCTAATCGCTAAAATTGGACCACCATCCTTAAAGACTTCTGGAGCCAGTCCATCTGGACCAGCTGCCCTTCCTCGTTTCAGATTAACTATAGCCTTCTCAACTTCAGCAAGAGTTGGGGGACCTACTTCAATGTTCCATTCACACTGTCTGGGAATGGAGGGTAGTTGTAGAGTAGCTGAAGGCCAGCTGAACTGTTCTCTAAAATGTTCCGCCCATCGTTCTAAACGTCTGGACTGGGAGCAGATGAGAGTATCATCTTTTTCCGAAATAATCTCACTTACACTTGACTTATTAATTCCAGTTTCTTTTATTAGTCTGTAAAGCTGTCTTGTGTTCCCTATAGTCGCCGCCTTTTCCATCTCTTTTGCTTTCGTTGCCCACCACTGCTCACGGTCGTTCCTTAGACTTTTTCTTAACCTAGATCTGATTTGTTGTCGCTCTTCATCATGTTCAGAACCTGATGGGACGAGTTTGCGAGAATCCATCAGTGTGACAGACCTTGAAGAAATCCACTGGTTCCTTGTAACTCTGTGGTTTAAGTCACTAATAGATGTCACTGCTGTTTCCACAGCTGCTTGTATATCCTTCCAAGCAACATCTGGGTCAGCCTCGTCTTCACAACTACCTAAGTGTGACCTCAGTTGTTCCTGGAACCTACTTTTGGTTTTCTCGTTACTCAACTCAGTTCTAATGGGTCTTTTTAATGTGGCTTTTTTGCGTCCAGTGAGGCGCAAGCAGATGCGTGCCCGTATTAGGGCATGGTCGGAGTCCAAGCAGGTACTCCAGAATGAGCGACAATCTTCTACCGACCCTCTCCAACGATGACTGATGGCAATATGGTCTATTTGAGTCCATCGTTGGTTTGGTGTAGGGGGTCGCCATGTTAGACGATGTCTCTCCTTATGCTTAAAATTTGTGTTTGCTAAAAATAAACGATTGTCTGAGCATAGCTGCAGCAGACGATCACCATTATCTGTTCGCTGTGTCGGAATACTAAAATATCCACCTAAATGCCTTTCTGTTTGGTTTAAACTACCTATCTGAGCATTAAAATCACCTGCTACGAGTACTATGTCTGAGCGTTTAGCTTTCTGAAGAAGTTCGGACAGCTTTCTGTAAAATTCATCTTTCACTTCATCTGAGCTGCAGTCAGTGGGAGCGTAGGCAGAAACGACAAAAAGGCAACGACGTGTGTCCCTATCCTTCCGAGTTCTTACGTAGCCGTTCAGCCGAACAGCACATAGACGACTGTTGACGGGGATCCACTCTAGCAGTGCTTGTTCGGCCCTCATGCTTAGTGCTATGCCTACACCTGCCAGTCCACGAGAACTGGCCATCGGGTCACCGGATACACGAAGGGTGTATCTCGTTGGCTCTCCGTTTGCCGAGGTGAGGTCAAGTGAATGACCACACTGGAATCCTGTATGCGTGTTTCGGAGACACAGCATACATCAATGGAAAGAGACTCTAGGGTTTTAGCCAAGGAAGCCTGCTGACCGATTTGACATAGGGTGCGTACGTTGAAGGCTCCAATGTGTAGTTTGGAGCGAGGTTTCAGTAGACCTGGGACAGTGTTTTGCGCACTAGAATCGTTGGCTATGGTGACACTTGAGGGGGAAGCCGAAAAAAAAGTTTGGAGTTGAAAGTCGATGTAGGAGGAATAATAGGAATTGAAGAGGAGGTTGATTATGAATACAGTGGTCTTGAGTGCTGTTAGAGGTATGAGGGCGGTTATCACTTCCCGGTTGCCCACACCGTGGAAGGGTTCTTCTGGAGGTACCTGAAAAGGAAATTGGATTAGAAGTGGTCTTAGTGACTTGAGAGCGTGACCGCAGTGCCCAAGGGACAACTGCTTGAGGTCGGTCACACACGACCTTTTATGGGTAATTTTTGTGTTAGCTCCGTACTTATTGAGACCTTACCGCCGGAGACGGATATCCGTGGGATAAGGCGAGGTGTGCATTTTTAGGGTCGACCTTTTCTAACCCCACCCCTCCTTGTGGGAAGGCAGCATCGCTGTCATGCTGGTTGTCTGAAGGAAACACCTTACTGCTGTCACACCTCTGTACAGTCAGCAGTACGACTTCGCCTTCGGACCTTGGGTTTGTTGCTTTTAGTCTTACCGCTCTTCAACCGACCTGTCTGACATGGTAGGACCTTGAGGAACGGTTGTTCCAGCCAGTATAGCTCGGTTGCTTCATCACGATAGGCAAGCCCGACCACCACGTCAAGGTAGCAACAACGGTCGGGCATGTATTAATTAGATAAAATTTAGTGTTAAAATTTATTCCTTAAATAACATTGCTAAGGAACAGGTTATCAAGCTGGTAAATCTGTTGTTATACGAGGAAAGTAGTACATATTAATAGGTAGTGAACAAATATAGCAGTGCAAATTTCGTGATTTAGAACACCGATGAAGATGCCCAGAAGATCTATTATTGACACTAATCGAAGCCAAAACAACTACGCAAAGAACTGAAAATGACTAGCAAAATTACGATAAAATTCCGAACCTGCGGACTAATAGAGTAGTATATCATTTCTAGTTTGGTAGATGTTTCTCTTACTTTGCAGCTATCAAAGATACAATGTAGGTCATACCTTACATTTTAGAAGTTATAATATTTGATAAAAAAAGACTGGGTATAATAACTACATCTTGAGATGCCTTGAAAAGCCAAATGGGTTCTTGGTTATAAACATAGCCTATTAAATTACAAATTTATTTACTATAAAATTTCACGTTTTCATACATCGATACATAAACAACATACTTTCACTCTGAGCTATCTCCTCAGAAGAAATATCTTCATCGATTTTACGAATCTAAAGAGAGTAAAAGATCAAGAATGTTTCAAGGTTATTCTAACTATAATTACAAAGTAAATATGCAAGAATTCATTTGTCACAGTGAAATGGAAACGTAGTTATTTATTAGGTTATGCTGGGATTTACCAACGCAAACTAGAGTCGAATTAAAAAATGTTATTCTGAAAATACGAAAATTGAGGTTGGACAAACTACGTGAAATCACACTCTATGTTGGATAAAAAATATACATTAAAAAGGTATTTTGAGAATTCAGTATTAGATAGTCGTTTTAGTGTTAGCCCAGCCAGGGCTCGAACCTGAGACCACTCGCACCCAAAGCGAGTATCATACCCCTAGACCATTGGCCCCCAGATGCCCCGGTACGGCCCAGAGTGGGAAGAGTCCGCTCTCCCTCTCGAAATGCTCTCACATAACCACGCGTATATAGCCTCTGCCAGGGAAGTCCTGCTCACTGCCTTCTCGTGGCGGGGGTGTTGTTTACGAAAATGAGAGGACGAAAAGCGAATGTCCGGCGCTTTAACCGGATTCTAAATCAATGGTGCTCATGGGCTCCAGTATCCTGCAGGAACAAATGGCGTATGAACTAATCGTTGGTCACAGGCTTTCATGGGACTGCATCTCCTTACGATGCTCCACTGCCTTGTGGATCAGACCTTCAGGTCGAAGGCTCGGGAAGTGGACTCCTAAGAAAACCACCTGCTTCGGTTTGGGCACCCAGGCAGTATCACAGCCCTCACACATATCGAATGAGATTTGTGTGGCGCATATGTATTTGATGCCTCCTTGTACCAATATTTATGTGTTAAAATAAATAAATAAAGTCGTTTTAGTGTTAAAACTGCAGGGACATTTTATCCATAAGGAAATAGCTTAGGAATTATGCTAACAAAATACTAAGTTGAAATAAAAATGGAAGTATCAAGTGGTTTCCATGGGTTTGGACTAAGCCCAATAGTTTTAGTGTGAATCAATCATAAAAACGGAAAGATTGAAGGGTCTGAAGATCATAAACCTACAAAAATATAGTAGTTGACTTATGAACTGAATGACGTAAGTTCAGTCAGACTAAAATCCATTTACTGACAGAACTACTTAACAAATATTTTTAATAATCTGTTGTCAAATTCCATAGCCTAGTATAAGCTATCAAGACTTGTCTGAAGTTTGTAGTCCAAAACGTTTCAGAGATTTTTTATATCTAAGAATAATCCCTAAAGTTTAATGAGCACCATCACTTATGAATTATTTAGCGCGAACGAAACTCGAAAATAAGCGAAGTTTTTATGCTAGAATAATACTGTTATTTATTCGATCTGCGTGGAATAAAATTCGCTGGGAATCATTTTTATCTATCTAAGGTTTGATAGGACAAAATGTGATCACATGGAAGACACAAACCATTTATTCTCCAGAAAAAATCTTAGTGTTTTTATTTATGCTATATTGTATTATGACATTCATGCATCTTTGTGAATAATTTAGGCTGAATATACGGTACAATAATGAGTAGTCGGAATTTAGAATATGGAATACACATAGTGCTTGGATTCAAAAAATGGCACATCTTTTAACCTATCAAACTAAATAACTGCTTACTAAGTAGACCTTATGCAGCATCATCTGAAAGAACGACAAACAGTTTGAGAGCTAAAGAGTGGATGAAACATAAACTGTTATATCGTATAGCTAACATTTTCAGTTTACTTTATGATTAAGTTTATGTATAAGAAACGTTTGTTCAAAGAAGTACACTACGATGACTTACCTTAGACGAAATTTGGGAATTGCTGTCATCCAGATGATTGGCCTCAAATTCGTGATTGGTATCTAAAGTAGCTTTGTATAACAAGATTGGTAATACATCCAATAAACGAACAGGATGAACCTAAAGCAAAAGTAGTTTTAGACATTATAAACGCTTAGAAATAAATAACCATCAATTTTGCGATTTGATTAAACGATCTGTAATAGCAAACATTTTTTTATTTGTTTGAACACAAAAATATTGGTTCAAAGGGGCACCGAATACATATGCTCCACGTAAGTCACTCGATTTGCGTGTGGGATGTGATACTGCCCGGTCGCCCAGACCGAAGCAGGAATAGCAAATACGTCAAACATTGGTTGACAGCTAACGATAACAGAATGTGTAATCACATTTAAACATAGGAGTTACGTGTACAAATTATTTGACCAATAAACAAGTAATCATTTAGTTCTTAAGCGAAATCTGTCAATTATGCATGAAATTGAAGCTTAAAGGAGAGCTATACAGCCTAATATGGATAAAATCTGAATGTTGGTCGCTATGATTCGGATTGAACAACACAGAGTTTTAAACCAGATAAGTCGGTGAAAGATATGTAGCCTAATGTTTCCAGGTCACTAAATACTCAGTTTCCAGAACATGTTACGATGGTATAGGCTAGCCAAGCCATTCTTACGCTATAGGGTATGAAAATGTTAAAAATGTACTTGAGTAATATACATTGTAGAACATTTAGTGAGGGCTAATAGACAAGCTTACCATACTCGTTTAATATTGTTACGAGGACCGGCTCTCAATATGTTAGTTTCACAATGGCCCCCAAACGCCCTGATACGACAGAGAGTGGGGAGAGTCAGCTTTCCCTCTCGAAATGCTTTAAGATGGCCACGTGCACACAAACACTGCCAGGGAAGTCCCACTCACTGCCTTCTCGTGGCGGGGGTGTTGTTTGAGAAACTGAGAGGACGAAAAGCGAATGTCTGATGCTTTAACAGGGTTGGTGGACACGGAGAGTCCACCTAGGGGAGCTGGAAAACCCTGATTCCAAACCAATGGTGCACATGGGCTCCAGTATCTTGAAGGAACAAATGGCGTATAAACCAATCGTTGGTCACTGACTACTATGAGACTGCATCTCTTAAAGTTGCTCCGCTGCCCGGGCAGTGTCCCAACCCTCACATAAATCAAATGATTTGTGTGGCGCATATCTGTTTAGTGCCTCCTTGTACCAATGTTTATGTGTTTAAATCAGTCAGTCAGTCAGTCAGCTACAACGTAGGACCAGGCACATGTATGCATCGGCCCAGGTTGCCATACCTCATTAGCACAGCAAGATGAACACTGGATTCATAGGAGTGGTTAGGTCAAAGGTGGTAATATATAGGAGAAAGATTGCAATAAGGATATAGTATAGGAAGAAAGAATTAGTTCGTAGAAAGAAAGATGTGAAGTGATCTTAATCTCTTAGTTTAAGAGAAGACAGAGAGTGTATACACCGACGCCATTGTGATCGATTCTGAGCCATGTCACCAAGGGTCTCCAACCATTGGTTACGAAAGTCACGCGGACCCCAACCAAGTAGTCTGCATCTACCAACATGGCTCAGACTAGAAGTTAGTGACTTCAGGCACTGATGCCACGTTTTGGTTTGGCCGCCCCTAACTTTCTTCCAACCATCCCCTACACCGGTTAGCATTGCACGTCGCGGTAATCGGTGTTCAGGCATACGTAATACGTGGCCCAACCATCTCAGTCGATGAAGATTCATAACCTCATCAACTGATTTACCATCATTCCCTAATACCCTGCGTCTAACCTCACTATTACTTACCCGGTGATCCCAGCAGATGCCAGCAATATTTCTAAGGCATCTGTGGTCAAATACTAGTAGCTTACGGGTGTCTTCTACTCTTAAGGGCCATGTTTCGCTGCCGTAAATTAAAACAGAACGGACTGCCGCGCAGTATACTCGTCCTTTTATTGATAGACGGATATCTCGCCTCCGCCAAAGGTGACGTAAGTTGGCAAAAGCCAAACGAGCTTTACGAATCCGTGCTGAGATTTCGTCAGACACCAACCCATTAGGGCTGATCAGACTTCCAAGATAAGTGAAGTTGTCAACACGTTCGACTACTTCACTCCCTATCCTTAGTTCAGGTGTTGACGCAGACCAGTCCTGAAGCAACAACTTGCATTTAGAGGGAGAGAAGCGCATCCCAAACATTCTGGCATTGTTGCTTAGTGCTACCAGAAGACTCTGCATTTTGTCAGCGTCTTCACCAAACAGGACTATGTCATCTGCATATTCTAAGTCGATAAGTGGACCTCCTGGAAGGAGATCAATACCCGAGAATTCAGTCGACGAGAGTGTTATTTCCATCAATAGGTCTATGATGAAGTTAAACAAAAATGGAGAAAGTGGGCAGCCTTGACGGACACCACTTGAGGTTGTAAAGGTAGATGACAGTTCGCCATAAGCCCTGACTCGACTAGTAGTGTTCGAGTAAAGAGCCTTCACAAGGTTTATGTACTTCTGAGGTACGCCTTTCAATGACAGACACTGCCACAGAGTCTCGCGGTCTACAGAGTCAAATGCTGCTTTTAAGTCAAGAAAGACCACCATCGTCGGACGCCGATAGGTATGCCTGTGTTCTAGAACCTGACGAATGGTGAATATGTGGTCGATGCAGCCACGACCAGGTCTAAAGCCAGCTTGGTTCTCTCGTGTTTGTAGTTCACGAGTCTTAGTTAGGCGTTTGATAATTATCGAGGCCAGTATTTTAGATACTATGTTTGTTAAACTAATCCCTCTGTGGTTGTCACAGGATGATTTTGACCCTTTCTTATATATTGGGACGATAAGTGATTGCGACCAGTCAGATGGGATAACGTCTAACTCCCAGATTTTAGCCAAAATATTAGTCAACCTAGTCGCTAAAATTGGACCACCATCCTTAAAGACTTCTGGAGCCAGTCCATCTGGACCAGCTGCCCTTCCTCGTTTCAGATTAACTATAGCCTTCTCAACTTCAGCAAGAGTTGGGGGACCTACTTCAATGTTCCATTCACTTTGTCTGTGTGTTTAAATAAATAAATAATAAGTCTCACAATGACTGTTTTCTTTGAACTACTTGCATTACGAAATCCCACTACCAGGAAACCTTGTGACTTAGTGGTTAGAATAATCAGTTTTCAACTAACAGGTTAGCGGTCCGATTTCTACTTCAACTACTTCGGTCTTAGCAGTTGCGTAGTAGTATTACAAACCCTTATGCCAATAATATGACCCAAAGCTGAGTATGTGAACGTTTTTATGATAAGCATAAGGATTTGTAATGCAAAGTTACTGTCGTTACAAGTGATTGATCCCCGAGTAGTAACCAATTTCATGTTTATTTAGTCATTTGGGGGTTCTTGAATTCTACCAATTAGATTGCAGTGTGGCTATTAGTTTAGGTGACTACACATCGAACTCCTGAAGGAGCACCAGTTTCCTTAGATACGCCTTGATTACCAAGCAATACGAAACATAAGTTCGAGGTTTTCAACTGACTACCGACAACTATCTAAGAAAGTCAAAGTAGATCTGTTATGTTCAAGTGCTTAGGTGCTTTTCATCCCGGTGGTTTGACTATTATCTCACTCCAGAAATATAGGTTTACACTTAACACCCAATTGAAGATGCAGCATAGAAAAACCTAGATTAAGATAAGTTGTTCAGTTTTATTAAATGAACTGTAAAGTAAAAAATCATACTTTTCCACTGTACGAATGTGTGTATGCAGAACTAATTTCTGATTGCGGAAACGATGAACCATGGTAAAATTGAATCACAGATCCTTTTGGTTGATCTGTGCCAATACGTTCGAGTGTAGCGGCTGTGATAAGTCCAGAACAAGTTTCACAAAGAAGAACAGTTGATCCTGCATGAATATTAGCATAAGACAGGATACGACATACTGTCTCGAAACGCAGTCCACTGGGAAACGGTGAAATATATAGTGACAAAAATAAATGTAACGATTGAAGATCTTAGTGTAAATTAATCGATTCTCTGATATTAAGTAAATTTATTTGCACAATAAACTGACAAAGTAAATAAACAAGACAGTTTGAGACAGAAAACTAAAATAATGCATTGTCAACTTGTGGGTGAGATCAACATTTGTTCACGTTGTCCGGATATCTATCTATATAATATAATATTCTGAAGCTAGCTATAAGCCATTTGATAGCGTCTTCAGTTTTACCACCAGAGGAATAAGGACTAGTCCTGGATTTCACAGCAGAAAGTTTTCCTAAGAGCCTACGATCATTACTTTTGCCTGATGACGGAACACGCCACTGTTGGATACCTTTGTTTTTTTAATAAGGATTCCTATATACAACAATGGGCTACCATTTTGTCGAACTGACTTCGTCATATACTTTGTTGAACCTACCTCTATATCACTGACCAATATAAATTAGAATGTCAGCCATCTACTCTCACTTGGATATTTTTATTTGTTCAGTAAAAAATGCAAAAGATTGTATCTAAATGACACAATCACCGGTCAATACCGTGGTACTTCAAAGAACCTATAACTTCGGTACACTACTATTATAAATAACCATTTGACTGCCTAAAAATAAACTAATATCACACCTATCGCAGTCAGTTGCTCCTTTTCTTGACATGGTAATGAAGTTAACTAAGTATAACTCGTACTAGAAAGTTCACTAGAGAAACAAAGTAGGATACATGTTAAACTAAAATAAACGTTATGCACACCGGTTAACCACAGCAAACACAGCTTTAGTCACACAAATATTATCAATCTAAAAAGGTGGGTCAGAATTCCATAGAATATAGATAGACAATATTAATGAGTCGAACAAAAATTAGTGACTTACAGACACTTTTCTGGGCGAAGATTACTGAATATTTCAAAACATATGCGCGCTTTAGGCTTTTCAATTGAGAATAAACTCAGGTGCCGATCTTTCTTTTTCTTGAGGTACTTTTGTTGAGAGAATGGTGTTTTCTGTTCAAAATTTAGGTTGCCTTCTACTAATTGGTCTAATATATCCTACAAAAAAAATTCAAAGATTTATTTCCACTACTTGTCCTGAAACACCATTAAGACGCAATTGTTCGATATATGAACCAGATAATTTCTGATTAGCTTGAGAAACTTTGATATTTCTGTTATCTTTTAAACCAACCGCACCATATTTTTCTTCATTATTCGGTGGAATTTCTATATCCTATAGTAAATTAGATTAAGATTAATTGGGTAACAAACAATTATTGACTCATGTTTAGTGGGATGAATTTGATCTCCTGAAACGAAAAATTTAGAGCCAAATGGCACACCAATCGCATTCCTTAGAGAGAATACTTTTCCATCAAATGTCTCTCTCCTAAGATCAGGGTCATGAGTAAGCATGATTTACTTCTCTGAGGAGATTTTGACGAATTTGTAGCAATGTTCTTTGAATAATAGAACATGATCTCCTTCGGTGATTAACATTTTTCAAGGTCGAAGTGAAAAAAAGTTGCCTTTATACGGAAGCCGTGCCTGAAAATGAAGCATTTGACGAGGGCTAAACAACAACAGAAGTTCCAAAACGTGACTACGAAACGCCCTATGATTATGTTTTTTAACTTCTCTTAACTATGATAAACTAGATGTAATAGGTGACGAAACATTACCTCTTTCAAACTGATCACCATGTACCAAGACACTGGCAACTTTATCGACAGTGACTTTTTTGATTATTTTACCAGCCAAACTTATCTAAAGTTTTGTTTTAAAAGTAGAACATCAAGAAAAACGGGAGACGAGTGTGACACAAGTGTATTCTGCTCATCACAAACTAGAAGAGAGTAACAATTTTGGACGGAAAATCCATACATAAATATTTCTATGGATTGATGTAGTTGTATACAATTCAGTTACTCTGAATCTATTTGTAAAATGTGTATCATTCAAATAAACAAACATGACAACTGCGGATTGAGTGACTATATTAAATTTATAAAACTAGGAACGATCACAACGACAGCCTGCGGGCGGACACTTACCCAACTCACCAAAGCATGCAATCCAAATACAGCGCTCCAGAGTCAACCTTTACAGTCTTTCAACAACCAATATATTCGGAGTATCTAATGTATTGCACGCCATAAACAATACCCCTCTTGCTCTTGTGTAATCTAGAGAGAATAAGCTTAGGTCTCACGGGCATGTTTCCTACACCAGCTACTCATATATTTGCATAAAACTGTACCTAGTTTTAGAAATTCATGCTCCTTTTGAAGACAAGGAGAGTAAGGACGTTTTGAGTTTCAAGGCATAGTCGTCAGTTCAAATTCAAAGTAATTTTGGGCTGATGGGATAAAGGTGCCTTCCATGAAGCAAACGATCGCATTTTCTTCGGCTTCATTTACATCATAGTTTAGGCTTATGTCCAAACACTTTGTGGTTAACGGTTCTGGTAAGCACTGTGTGGAAACGATTGTGGAAGGATTCTAACGACAGACATGATTTGTTCTTGTCTCATGGGGTGGAATAGTCATGAAATAGCATTTTTACAGATCAACGTTTAGCTATTACCCACCAACCACTTTCCTTTTATTATGAGGTCGTTTAGGATCTCGAGTGGATCATCATCGTTTCTTGTGGACCATGGTGACGTTAGTGCATATTAAGGTTGACTAGCTAGATTTTCTAGGCAGTAGTTGTTAGAAAATAAGGGAAGTGAACTTAAACTTGTTACTTGTGAAACTCCTTTTGCTAAGACCCTTAGCATTGTGTGTGAAACTCTCAGTTCACAGAGCCAGGCAAGGAGTGAGTTAGAAAATTTTATCGTTGCTGTCCTCTCAACGAGTGCGCGAAGTGTTGAATCAAATGTTTTTGCCGAGGTAAGGAATTTTATGTGGACATGTATCTTTAGGTCTAAGCGAGTTGTCCTACTACCTAATACTTAGAATTGTACAAACAGGACAAATCTTTTCTGAGCCTCTCTTATGCTTCAGGATTAATGCTATTTTTGCCCAAGTACGTCTTGATTTAGTCGACAAACAGCCTTTACATTGCTTTCGAAAATTTTCGGGTAAGTGCAACTAGTTATTAGGAGGACATGTTTCTTCTGCCTGCTGCTCTGAAAAAAAGAGGCAGAATATCTTTCCGAAGTTACCATGATTCTAGTGAGTGCCAATTAACCGATCGCATAACGGCGTACAGTAGCTCTTTATGCACTGTTTCAGGACCAAAGATCGGACGTTCTCTCATCCTAGTGACCTTTCGGGTGTTAACTGTTAAGCCTGTAGTGCCTAGTACTATTTCAAGCTCACATTTGTTATTTCAGCTTCCGGACAGACTAATTTATTCCTTCTTCTTGAGTTACATTTTGACCTGGTAAGTCGTTCACTTGTTGAACTTGACTGTCTTTATATGGGCGTGTATTAATTGCTCACCCTATCCACTAAGTGCCTGTAACTTATCTTTGTCTGACCAGAAATTTTGAGTCACGCTTGACTAAATCCAGTTGGCGCACTCATCTTCTTGTTCTGAATGCCGCTTTGGATAAACGATTTCTTGAAATGAATCCAACCAACGCAATCCATTGTTGGGTTCTTATTACCATCACCACGCAAACAGGATTAGCCTAGGTAATATACGGAGTAAAATGGAAGATTTATGTTCAGAGTATCTCCGTGAGATGAAACCGGAGTCACATAATGGGCAACAGAAAGTCAGATGGAGACTTCCTGAACTACAAGCTAGTACTAGAGTGGAAAATTATACAGCCCCTGTAAGTCCTTGGTTTAATGATGTTGTGAAATTGTGGCTAAGTATTTTCACTTCACATATTGTTGTTTCATCTGCTTTACTGTCTTTTACTAACATATATTTACATGATTTACCATTGCTTTCGAAAAGATGTTAATTACTCATGCAGCATGTGACTGTTGAGCCATTGTTACCCTCAAAATAACTGTGTAGTGTCCATAGGAAACTGTGGCCTTCGGCATTCATACCTTATCTCTCTATCTTTGTATTTTTAAGCTTATGACCCTTGTGTGTACTCGTATGTGTTTGTCTGTCGCTCATTATTTTATTAAATGACTGTCTCCTTGCCACACTACGCATTTTCTATTATGAGTAGTAAAGCGAGTTTGCACACTCACCTTCCACAATTCGCTTTCCAACTTTTCGTTCGTAGTGTCTGTCTGAATAAATTCATCTAACTCAATCCATTTCGTTTTTAATTACTACTGTCTGGGTGTACCATAAGGAGTTAATTGGAAGAGTTGTATTCGTTAATTATTTCAAACTGGAGTCCGCTTATCGGGGCACAAAACTACTTCTGAGTGCCATGTGAGAGCTGTGGTCGAAACCGCTAGTAAGAAGAATTCTTGTCTTTCCGGAGTATCTTAATTGTGACGATGCCAATTATAAGAAAGATATTGTCTTAATGGGTGCATTCCGTTTACGCAAATTATGACTGTACATTGGTTGCCATTTACTGTTCGTTTTTTGACGTTGTTGGATAAGCTTCGCCTCTTCTTATACTTGAAAGGACCATATCCTCCTAGGTGCGGTAGTAGTTATATCACCTGGGCTATATTTTCCGTCTGTTTTATTACATATAGAACGGTGTTAAATTCCTCCAATCAAGTATTTGGTGACATTTACTTCCAAGCAACATCAGAAAGACTCTGGTAACTTGGCCAGCTTCATTATTACCGGCGTGGTAGGTGATGGCTTATACCCGCCCGTCCTCTGCATGTGTCCCCTGTCACATCTGAATAGCGTGACGTCTTGCGTGTTCACTTCACCGACGGGGACATCAGGTGAGAGCCAAGTTTCAGTTGAAACCGCAGCCTTCAGCTTAAGCTGGAGACATACAATTCCGTTCTTGTTTATTTTGCTTCTATATAACTCTGTACTGTTTCAGGAGCGCTTAGATGTTTGGCGCCATATGCAGTGTTTCACTATAGAAGTAGCTGCTTGTTGGGTTGTGTGCGGGATTCGGTTTAGAGCTAGCCGGCAGGCTCTGTAGGAACCGGACGATAAGGGTCATCCTCCCATGTGGTTCGTTTAGTCACTGTAGGCGTTCTGTTGAGCCCTTTGCCACAGGTTGTTGGCCAAGGTAATCTGATAATGCGAAGTATGCTTAAATCGATTGTCCTATCCTTGTCTCGCCTATGTAGGCCGGCGTTCGTAAGTTATAAGGTCATTCTTCATATTTTAACGAATGTGTTAGGTTCTATTTATTTCAGAAGTTCATATCCATCAGGCGGAAGGACCTGATCGTTATAAAGGACAGGAAAGTCATGACATGCTAGTTGCTGTAGCTGTGCTATAACCCCCTCCATCAATGTATTATATACACATGAACTTCCTGGAGGCCAACATATGTAAACTTAGGGACCTCATAGACTACCATCCTGACTGGTTCACCAGTGCCCGCTGATGGTTACTTTGACGCCTCTTTTTCAAAGTACTGTTTGTCGTTTCTAACCCTGATATCAGATGACCGTCAAACGGTTAATCTCGGAAACATCAAGAGAACTTCCCCTCCCATATCTGAAGAGTGTAATCTGATTTATAGTAAACGGAATTTACCTTTATTGAAGTTTGGCGTCTGTACGAGCGGCACTGTTTTACTGAAATAGAATCCGTCTCAAGCAGGGTGTAGTACTCGTTACACCACTGTTTATTAAAAGCTCTCCTGTTTGTCAGTAAACTATTTCTTAACACTAGGACATAAAATGCTATTTGAGCTTGATGTCCAGAGTATTCTTTCTGAAAGCTTTGCTACACTGGAAGGTACTTCAATAATATTATCCTTTATAATAGTCACCCATAGCTCTTCTCTACTCTCAGCAACTGAGGTATGCGAAGCGGTAGATAATTTTAGTATAATGATCTAAGTCGGCATATTTGCACTTATATTTGCTATTAGAATGATAGATCTAATCACGAAATTATAGGTTCGTAAAAGTGTTACTACCCAATTACGTTACGTGGAATTCACATCATTGTCCATACTGACTCGTCCTGCTTAATAGTCTGCGACATAGTGTTTAGGGCTACTGAAATAAATATTTTGGGACAGAGTGATCACGCCTGCACTTCGTACAGGCTAATTTTTTCTTGTTCACCATTTCTGATCCTCTCTAAGTGTCACATGTTAAGTGTAATCACCTCAGTCACTAAATGCTCAGCTTCAAAGTACGTATGGTTGGGAGCCTATACTGCTACAAGTTCCTCGATGGATTCTCTAAGTCGACATTGTGGTTTACTTGGGTTATGACTGAAATGATCGCGTCTTTGCTGTCCCTGTGCACTTTGCACTAGTGGGGGTGGACAGAGTTTCTTGCAACATAAATGGAAGTGTATGCTTCTCTTTCTTCGGTTCAGTTGGTGCACTTTCTCTGCACTCCGGACATACGTACTGGATAAAACAATAGAGTTTTGCGAAGAAGTTATGGAAAACTATTTTCTACTCTAATACTCTTTGTTTTAGAATACTCTATGGTGTGACGTCAACTCGCGGTTGACAATGATCACCAATACAGGAAGACTACGTGCCAAATTCCATCTACTCTGTATCAAAAGCACAAAGAGTTATTTTAATTGAGGCACTGACATGTATTTGTTAGGACCTTTAGTTCTAATCAAGAAGATGGCTTCGATGTTGATACAGAAAATGGTCTTTTAATATAGCTATAAACCCTTCTTTCAAAAATATCTGCAGCTCTGTCGCCTTTAAGATCAATTTTGATGTAAAGAGTTTCCTTTGGTACTTAGGTTGCTTATTCTTCCGGAGTCTTGAGATCTATTTTCTTGCAGAAAAATATCGATGAGTGACCGTTTTTCTTAAAGTGACTAAAAATTCTTTGGATTTGAGTGGTGAGAGATATAATTAAGTCTCAATTTCTAAAATATATAAAACTCCAATTTCACAGTAGTTTACTAGCTGGTTTTTTGTATGCAGATAGCAGAGTTCTATTAAGTATAAATTTCATAGCTCCATGGTAGTTGCTGAAATTTTGTTGAATGTGATCAAAATCACATTTTATCCTTAAACCATTTTAATAGGCAACTTCGAAATTTTAGCACAA